GCGCATTATACTAGCGGGACGCCTGTCTGCAGTGTGCATGTAAATGTATTAGTGGGTTCTCCCTGTCTACCAGTTCTGCCATAAACATCTACAAGGCAATCTACCACCCAAATCCCCAAAGTCTCGCAAGAAATTGGTGGTGGCACGTGGTCCTATGCACAATGCACTGGTCACAAATCAGGTGAAGACAAGAAACGTCGGTCGGGTGGCCGCGTTTCGGTAGCTTGGCTCATGAGAGTTTCTAGGGCTTCGGTCCTGCCCCACACTTAAGCACATGTAACACACGTGTGTCTCCTTGTGTTTGAAATGTGCCTCTGTTCACCAAGCAGTGAATGGGTACCCGGTAGGATGAACTGTCAATGGGGTTGTTAATCTTCTCGCGCCTTACAGGCAGCTTGGGTTGTATACTCCCCAGGGAGCTGAGAATGGTTGTTGAGTGCAAACTGATCCAGTGACCGGGGTAATAATAGCACTTTGAGCATGCCCCTGAGTGGTCTGGAATTATGTGCAATATTATTATGAAAAGGCTCATCCCGTGTCAACAGGAGCGAGCTACGCTCATGCTGTGGAAGCAACCGACCCAGATCAGACAAACAAGGCGACCAGACAAAGCTTATGAGTGGTTTGAAACGCACGACCAGTTTTGTGTTTAGTCGTCGGTGTTGCAGACGAGTATATGCTCATAACACATAAAACATTGATGTCGTAGGTTAAGTGATAATGGTGTATGAACTTAACCTATCTATACGTTAAGTGAGCTGTGTGATTGTGTGTTGAGAGCGGGTTGGGGATATTGTTGAGTGGGGGATACATACAGTGTTGAGTGAACAATCGCTACCTGTGTCTGTGTCATCTTTGCTTTGTCTGCACCCGTACTTATGGGTTTCCAGTCTATAATCTGTGCCACTTCGGTTGCTTCTAGCCAAAGCTAACACGCAGTTACATGTATGTAATGTGTTTGTTTGTTGTTTAACGCCGCACTCAGCAAACTTCAAGCTGTATGATGGCGGTCTGTAAAGAATCGAGTATGGACCAGTGATACATTTGGGATACGATGGCATGATTGAACCAAGTCAGTGAACCTGACCACCCGATCCCGTTAGTCGCCTCTTACGACAAGCATGGGTCGCTGAAGACCTATTCTACCCCTGATCTTCACGGGTTACATGTGTATAACTGAAGTACGGTTCAACGAGAATTAAAACCCACTCTTTGACCGTTAGGTTTGCTGAGCTGAGAAAGGCCACATCCATCCACAGTTTAGTTGCCGTGTTTGTGGTGAATATTGATGAATCAATATCACAATATCAAAGAAAACGAAGTGAAAAAAGTGATATTTCTCATTGTGCGTATCTGGGCCATTTGTGTTACCAACTAATATTGATTCGACTATTCGTATCAAAGACATCAAACTGATGCAGGCAGATTAGTCAGCTTGGATAATTCAAGAACAGATAATTCACCACTAATTGTTTAATAACTTTATATTCATGACTGATTTTAACATGATATGGTACAAACACACGTGAAACAGAAGTAGATATTAAATCACGCTACAGTCCCGACTACGATTACCTCTTCCTAACATTGTTAACGGGTGTCAGTGGACCATGTAGACACTTGCAATCTTACAGGAAGAACGTGTTTCGTCACGGTCCATTAGCAAACGTTTCTCCCTGAACAGCAAATACAACATCCAATCTAACAACATCGCAGCAGAAAGCAGAATCTTGTCATAGAATTTCTATGAATCAATATCCTGTTCGGATTCTGAACAATGTTAGTGAACATGGATCAAACGTTATTTTCTGTGACTTCCGGAACGCTGGTGGATTTGGAACCAAGGGTAGGCAGTTATCCACCCCATCTCTCACCACTGGCAACTCTACAGTGATAAGAAGTGGGTGATTGTGAATGAGTGTTATTTTACACCGCTTTAGTCGATCTTCTCGTCCTGTCACAACAGGACACAAAGCTAGCTGACATTTTTTATCCCAAGCTGGCTACTGAAAAGAAAAGCCAGCACTTTATCCACAATGCTACACATCCTCACTATATGGGGCATATGACAATCTTGCAACACCTGGTAGATGATACTGCGCGCCCCTCGCGGTTTATTCTCCTTGCAGTGTTTTATTGTATGATAAACAAATCCTACTCGTCGTTTATTTCCGAACTATATCTGTACATATCCTTGGTATATATACTTCCCATAAGGGCAATCGGACCATGGTAGGTGTCCACAGCCCCTGACACGTTGCTTTGTCTAGGTTAATGAAAATGAAGAGGGTTGCCTCGTGTATTTCGTCCGGACAAGTGCGATTCGTCATTTAAATGGCAAATCACATTTTCTGCGATCATGATCCATCTTAGGATTATTCCTATAGGACACACATGACAATAATGATACGTCATAAGGCCTCCCCTCCACTGTTGTCGTTGTTGATGGTGAACGCGGTGATTCAACGCACAAGTCCACTAATTCGACAAAGTGTGTCAATGGGACTTTATATTCATAAGTGTTTTTGTTCTAAAGTAAGTATTGTTTATCTGATCAGTCCACTAGTTTGGTTGGGTCTTGTTGCTATCCATCTTCATATTCATGAACATAATTTATTGCTAGGATTAGTAAACTTGACAATATAATGGGTTCCTTTTAAAAAAAGCCTATGAACGTATAAGTTATTATATGTACTTAACCTTCTGTGTCCCCATCTGCACGTGAAGCGAGTGGTCAGTGGGTTCAAGACTGATATTATTCACCATAAGCTGACCACTCAACACCAAATGGGTTGTTTCCTGTCAAATATATTCCCCGTAGGCTGGTTAAGACAATAGCTGTGGAATCAGTTATGACCATGGTGATGATGTGTTGCCGGAGGATACACGTGCTTATTTGGTTAGTTGAAGACCGAACAAAACCACGTATCCTTCAATATCCCGCGGAAGATCGGGATTCGATCTCCGGACCGCGTACACGTTACCCTGCCTGGTGCTCGCCAATAAGGGACCTACCATTTGATTATCTGGGTCGGGGAGGGGATTTTGTGTGGAGACTCGATATTTTTCAGCTACAGATGAAAAAACCCACATCTTTTCAATTAAAACTACTGGCCTAATTTTGTATTTTACTCAAATATCTTGCGATAATGTATTTTTGTGGCAGACTGGGATATCCATGTTAAACTGCGACATGATATCTCAGTAGACTAGCACTATTAAAATGTACTAATACAAGTAGTCACACACACACACAATGTTTGGAGTGAGTAGCGTGAAGTAGCTTTGCGAAAGTATTCTATCAAAAACGTTTCATGTCTTCATGATTTTCTGCTCTGAACGCAAAAAGGCCTTTAATATTATGTTGTTTTAGTTCTGAGAGAAATAGGGAGATGTCTATAGAATCGGTTGCAATGATAATTATTGTATTCACGGCATGAGATACAACTGAACCAATATTCTACCATTCCGCAGTAACAGGTATCGCTGACCCATAGTATCTCAAAATGATTTGTTTAATTGACTATACGAATAATATCCTTGAATATTATTACATTTTTGCTCATTAATAATAAATAATTATTATGACTATATCGACAAGTATTCAAAGAGAACGAGTCTGAGAGGCAGTTATCGTTTGGCCTTGGAGATAAGTGTAGTTCAAGTATGTTCTTGTACTGAATCAGAGACACCTGTCTGTCTGCAAGCCTATCAATCTCTCGAACACAGGCGAACATACCAGCCATGACTGCATTATTTAGTGTTGAAAGTAGCACATCAACTTAAACACACCTACAGCGGTGTACAGAGGTTATCAGTGGATTCTGATGGGACATGCCGGTGTCACTGCCAACTCTAGAGACAGTGGTCGGCCTCACGTCATGGAGACCCGGTTGTCTGGCTTCATGGTATGCCATGGCGGTCGTTGTGTTCAGTAATCGTTCAGAGGCAGATTGTTCTTGTTCTGTTAATTGGGCTGATTCGCATGGGAGTGGATGGACAAGACAGAGCATGTGAGTGTGGTGTGTGTGCTTGCGACGTATCTGACAGTAAACGAGTTGGGTAACCGCTGCTTTGAACAGTATTTCTGTATAAAAGCGACAAAGACCATATCCATGATCATAAGAAATGTCTGCTGAAAGCAGAGCCCATTGTACAATTCCGACTATATCATGAGAATGTGTTAACGAATCACTATCAAACAGTGATGATGCCAGGTGTTCGTGAAAAGGTGAGCGTGTCCTGTCCCACCTTGCACCGGTCATAAACACACGCAAAGGCAAATCAATGTTCACCTAAAACCAAACACGCCTACATGTCTACTGTATGTCACGTATCAATTTAATGTGGGAGTTGAGCTCGAAGTGATGCAGTTAGGCGACACCCTGAATGCTGAATATGGGATTCGAACCCACGATCTTAACATGTTGTATCATGGTATGCCTCAGAGACGCATAAGAGAACTTTTAATGGAGAATTAGACGACTGGGTCACTCGTGCTCACTGTAGATAACAGATGGAGGATGTAGATTCCTGCAAGTGGATATTTCACAGTACCTGTCGACTATAAGGTTATAGGTATACATTTCTGATCCGGTCGGTGTATAAATGTAATTATGACATCATGACATGTTTTTTTTCTATTATAATCCTTATTCAGTATATTTGTCCTTGCCAACTGATTTTTTCTTTTTATTTCTTTAACTTCTTCTTTTAGAATTTGCGCACAACAAAAATTGGTAATTTTGCTTCGATACATATATGTTATTTGCCTATTTTAAGGGATTAGATTTGTTAAGTATAACGTCATGGTATGGACTCTGTTGATGATGTATTAACCAGCTGATAATGTGATGGTTCCTTTCAGATTTGAAACATTCATTTAGAATTGGGTCTGGACATATTGTGCATGGTTTCATGGTTCGATGGAGACAGAAACGGAATACTAAGTCACATTAAGAGTGTGGAATGTGTGACAAGTCATCGTGGTATTGTTGCAGGTGGTGTCGGTCATGTCAAAGACGGAACAGAGGAAGCTTCTACTGCGAGCCAAGGTCCGCTGTTACAGGAAGATGGTTCGCGTCCTCAATACAACCAGCCAGGGTCAGTACATAGTTAATGTCACGGCATAGTCTCAGTACACCTACTTAATGTCACAGCATAGTTTCAATACACCTACTTAATGTCACTACATGGTTTCAATTAAGGGTGAAACGATACACTGATATTCCGATGCATTGCGATACTTGACCCACGATACAATATACGATAAATGTAGGCCCATTTATCGATACGCCACGATAGGGAACGCAAATCTCAAGTACAGCGTTTCCTCCCTATTGTGCCTTTCAGTAAACCGCTAACTTGGTTTTAGCGCGCGGTAACGCATGGCTCCCCAAAACATACTTACATTTTTAATAAGTTCAGATTTTACACTGACAGATGTTTTTCCCCATCTGAAAAAACATTATCAGCTGATCACCGCAAGCATATAACACCGAAAATACGAGTCAGTAAAACCGAACTGAAATACGCAATTCAATACCATCATAATATTATCTTGTTATTAAAACATGTTCATTGTATATCCAGACATGTGTTTGTAATATATTTTATGAATGTTATTCAAAATTTCATTTAATATTGTTTTCATTATGTTAGGTGAAATCGTATGTGAAGAGATACAGCAACCAGTCAGATTACCGCTTTTGATGCATTGAAACGAACTTTAGTTGCTAGAGAATGGATACATATATTAAAAATGCCATACTTTGACTTGTTAAAAGTCATATTTGTGGCAATTTGGCTAATATATGTCGACATAACATTTTCGCAATCGAAATACATTTCGCACGGGAAGTCCCTACGGTGACTGGTCAAATTTTTCAATACGTAAAAATATCCTGCAACAGCAATCACCAGAACCAAAATGCTACGCTTGTGGTTTTTATAATTTTAAATACATATATAGTAAAATCTGCAACTAAAATAACACGATATTTGAATATATTATTCAATACACCTCCTTAATGTCACTACATAGTGTCAATACATCTACTTAATGTCACCACAGTTTCAATACACCTACTTAATGTCACTACACAGTGTCAATACACCTGTTTTAAAACACCTGCATGTGTTTAATGTACATGTACATAGTGTAAATAAGACAGTTAATGTCACCAAATGGTCTACATGATATCAATACACAGTTGCAGTACATTTGAATGCAAAAACGAATTGGAGTACTTGTTCATGTGAGAGAGTATTAATCATATGACTGAAAGTGACACGACCCTTTCCATAACCTTAACGAATCTTAACTAAAAGCAGAGACCATTGTACGATTCCGACAATTCCGGTGGTAGCCGTCACAAACACATGCAAAGGCACGTTAAGGCAGCCTTTGGGCAAACATTGAGGCCTTACTTGTATAGTTTTAGGGATTTCTGCTGGTATGGCTTTGTGATCACTTCGCCAGCTGGAGCTGTGTATCAGAAGCTCTTGAACGGCAAACTGCACGTCAATATATCGCTTCATATAAAGGATGTATACAAGTCAAAATAGGGCATTGCATCAGATATATTTTATGTCACTGATGGGTAAATTTTGGAAATGTCCTCTCATGTTTACCATAAGATGGTTTGAAAGCTCTACTAAGGCCTTGGGTGTTGTAACGCTGATCAAACAACTTTTGAGCAAGCGTCGTATGACGCTCTTTGAAATCTTCGTAGAAAGAACATTCTCGATTGTACCTCAAAGAGGTGAAATGTAGACATCAGAGGCTGGAGCTGTTGGAATATTGCTCTCCATTAAGCAGAAGTTGATTTTTAGAAAGTTGAAGTCATCCCTCCTGCCACACAGTCTTGTGGAGAGTGTTTTGTCACTCTGAACGCTTGTGTCGTGATCTAATTATGAAACCTATGAGTCTGTCTCACTGGTCCATGTATTTCTAGTTTAGTAGTTCAGATGTACAGTTCCTATACAAGCATCATTTTGTTTTTTCCACACAGTCACTCCGGGCTCTCCTCCCACATTTAGCTGCCACGCCGCGATATAACTGTAATACTGTTAAAAGCGGCGTTAAGCCCAACTCACTCACTCTCCACACAGCGTGGCGTGTCAATGCACATGCCGAACACTTCTTCTGGTTTCGGCTACAGAAGAGTCAATTAGTGGTCAACAAACCGTCCTTATTAATGCGGAATGATTCATATACCCCTATCTCATTAGGTAGTTCTAGTGTCTTCCCTGTATTAGATACCATCCTTTGACAAACAGGTGACAGGGGCACTATCGACGGAGAAATGTGACGCTAATACCGGCAGTCCCCGAAATTAGTTTCCTGTCAATAAACATCAAGGGATGTTATTGATCTGCACTGACAGATATTATCCCTAGTCGGGGCCGCAGTTCACACTCCAGTGTCACTGAACATGAACATTGGACACCACTGTTTATGATTACTTCCTTTTCCTCACTTCGTATTTGTAACGATAGTCCTGCACCATGACCGTGGAATATATTTATTTTATGAAAATGAATAAATCTGGAAACGCATACAAACGCAAGTCTAGCCAGCTCAAGCTAGCTCTATTCAACGGCATAGGGAAATATTTTTTATTTTGAGAGTCTGAAGGATATGGTGTAATATAAGATTTCAGAGACTAAATGCTAGTCTATCCTAACGATGGCCGTGCGAAATTCACTACCAGCCCTGACTGAGAATAGACATACCAACACAGCAATGTGTGTGGAATAATTTCCTGCCAGGGTATAATTGGCGTGAAGGTAGAGAGCTGTGACAGTACGGTGTAGTTAAAGCACCGTGGTTCCTTTCTCCAGAACTGAGTTGCAGGAAGTAAATGTTTGGTGCTATAACGGGTCATTTAGAAACATGCCACTGCAAATGTTTAATTTGATGAGGCAATTTGATGGAAGTAGGATTTCCGGCTGAATTTGCTAGATAATAGACATACACTTTTGGTAATGACCACATTAGTATTACCACTTTCATGCATAAAGCATAAAGCTACTTGTATGGAATTACACACAGGAATGAAACTAGCAATGGTTAAGTTCGTTAGTTTCGGTTTTTGTCAGGCGGAACTTCATCGGTATTTGCTGTCAGCAGGTGGTTCATCCTTCATCAATCTCAGTCACAGAAAGTGGTTAACTTTACATAATGTCTTAGTAAAGCAGTTCGGCGATGGTATATACGAGGGTTGACTGATCTGGTGGTTCATCCTTCATCAATCTCAGTCACAGAAAGTGGTTAACTTTACATAATGTCTTAGTAAAGCAGTTCGGAGATGGTATATACGAGGGGTGACTGATCTGGTGGTTCATCCTTCATCAATCTCAGTCACAGAAAGTGGTTAACTTTACATAATGTCTTAGTAAAGCAGTTCGGAGATGGTATATACGAGGGGTGACTGATCTGGTGGTTCATCCTTCATCAATCTCAGTCACAGAAAGTGGTTAACTTTACATAATGTCTTAGTAAAGCAGTTCGGAGATGGTATATACGAGGGGTGACTGAAATGGTCTGAATATACGAAGGATGTAAACTACGGTTATAACGAACTCAAAGGGACCAGTAATTCTAGTTTGTTATACAAACATATAAATAGGTAGCATATTCATGCAGGCATCCAAAGTGACTAACTCCATCAACACAGCTCATTATTGTTAGTCCTTTTGTGTGTGTGTGTGTGTGTGTGTGTGTGTTTGTGTGTGTTTGTGTGTGTGTGTGTGTGTGTGTGTGTGTGTGTGTGTGGTGTGTGTGTGTGTGTGTGTGTGTGTTTGTGTGTGTGTGTGTGTGTGTGTGTGTGTTTGTGTGTGTGTGTTTGTGTGTGTGTGTGTGTGTGTGTGTTTGTGTGTGTGTGTGTTTGTGTGTGTGTGTGTGTTTGTGTGTGTGTTTGTGTGTGTTTGTGTGTGTGTGTTTGTGTGTGTGTGTGTGTGTGTGTTTGTGTGTGTGTGTGTGTGTGTGTGTGTGTGTGTGTGTGTGTGTGTGTGTGTGTGTGTGTGTGTGTGTGTGTGTGTGTGTGTGTGTGTGTGTTTGTCCTCAGTTTAATATGTGTACTCTGACCACACACTATACATACTCCGTGTCAGCCAGTCCTTGTTTTGTCCCCTTACTTCCGAGCACCAGGCAGGGAAACAATAAGAACCATCTTTTAACATCTTTTCATATAACGCGACGGGGAATCGAAACACTCAAATTTGGGACTTGATCCATGAAGGAAATATTCATGCACAGTGCAAGGTCAGGAATATATCCGGTTTCGAATACATTTTAATAACGTTCTTTGAACAATCAGTTTGCGACACACACCTATTCGTTAAACAATAGTACTCTACCCACTACATCAATCAGAAAGACTCATTGCTCAACATACTTATCAGCCTGATGACCTTTTTGACTCAAGTGATTTGGCACAGTTATCGCCTCCGCTTGGGTGTTTTTTAGGGCAGGACATGCTAACCCTTTTCTCGAACACCTGGTGTCATCACTAATTGTCAGTGATCCATTCATATAATTTCCATCACTGCTGTGCCTTTTAGGCCCAATGGAATTTGTGTCGGCAGGTAAGCGAGACTGATTAGTCTCTGGCGTTGACGTTTTGAATTAACGTGAACACGTTTCACTGAAATAGTTATGTATCAGATAAACGCGAATATGTCCCTCTGTCAGTGGGAGTTATCTGTATATGTCACAGCATCTGTCTGAAGGATGTGGCAGTTTGTCAGTACTATCCTTCCTGCTCAAGAAGGCATCCCTTCGGGTGTTACATCGAGTGCACAATCAGGTGGAGAAAAAACTGTCAGAAGAAATTAATCACCATCATCACACATCTGCTCGATCTCAGCTAAAAACAGTTTTTTTAGAACATGTGATTTATTATAAGGGACTGTTTTGAGTGAAAGGCTATTACCATCGTTACGTTTTACAGCCTTGTTGAAGGTATCTCATGTCTCCGTGGGGTTGTACCAGCACTGGGCATATCACATCAAAAATGAATACAAGTCTAAAAAGTAAGATTCATTGCCATTATAAAACATAATGTCTATCTTGCAGCATACGAGTTGTATTGGTTACATGAAAAAACAAACTGTGTGATCTTGCAACGGTGAGCAGTGGCAGTAGCAGTAACAGAATCAGCAGTAGCAGTTGCAGTAGTAGTAGTAGTAGTAGTAATAGTGAGTGAGTGAGTATGGTGTACGCCGCTTTTAGCAATATTCCAGCAATATCACGGCGGGGGACACCAGAAATGGGCTTCACACATTGTACCCATGTCGGGAATCGAACCTGGGTCTTCGGCGTGACGAGCGAACGCTTTAACTACTAGGCTACCCGACCGCCCAGTAGTAATAGAGTAGTAGTAGTAGTAGTAGTAGTAGTAGTAGTAGTAGTAGTAGTGGTAGTTATAGAGTAGTAGTAGTAGTAGTAGTAGTAGAAGTAGTAGTAGTAGTAGCAGCAGTAGTAGTAGTAATACTGGTGTGGTAGTAGTATATAATAGTGGTAGCAGTAGTAGTAGTAGTAGTGGTAGTAGTAGTAGTAGTAATAGAAGCAGCAGTAGTAGTCTTAGTAGGAGTGTTAGCAGTACTAGCAGCAGCAGCAACAGTAACAGTAGTAGTAGTAGCAGTAGCAGTAGCAGTAGTAGTAGTAGTAGCAGAAGTAGTAATAGTAGTAGTAGTAGAAGCAATAGTTGCGATAGATATTTACTTTTTGTCATGCTTCTAGTATATAATAATGAGGAAATGTATGATAATTGTTGGGGATATAGAGTTTTCTTAAGGATGTCAAACAGATAGTGAAATTCGTCGGCTGTTACAGGGGAGTTACATAAATGGCAAGTTGTTTCGTCTTTTGGAATGTTATGGCTGTTACGGGGGAGTTACATAAATGGCAAGTTGTTTCGTGTTTTGGAATGTTATGGCTGTTACAGGGGAGTTACATAAATGGCAAGTTGTTTCGTCTTTTGGAATGTTATGGCTGTTACAGGGGAGTTACATAAATGGCAAGTTGTTTCGTCTTTTGGATGTTATGCCATCTGCATGTTTCATTTGGAAAGTTGTGGTTACATGTGATCCGACCTATCCTTTCTCGAAGAAGTTGATGATTTTAAGATGTCTAAAGCATGGCTTTATATCCTTTGTTTATTACACACAGCGGCATACTGCACATTGAAGAACCCGACCTATCCGGTTACACTTTGGGCAAGATTTTGTTTTATGGAGTTTTTCCTGACGGACGTTAAACTAGATATTTTCAATGCATGTTTTATATTTAACTCGGTGCCTGGCTCTATGTGCTCAGACAAACGACACGTTTGGGAGTTATGAGACTTAAAACGTGTTTTGATATCTCACCAAAATACCCAGCGGTGATACGCATACGGATCACAATTCTGTAAAATCTGCCATTTTGATTTGCAGTTTGCATTTATGCTTCGTAAAGTGTCCATAGGGTGTTCCTAGCTGGAACATGCCTGACTTTTTATGATACGTTGATACTTGGGGTGGAACTATTCATGAGCTAACACTACCCATTCATCGCCACAGAGGAAACAGCTTGCCCCATTATCCACTTCTTATAATAATTATAATGATCCATTCTATAAAACTTATCACAATAAAGATATATATACAATGTCTAAACGAGGATGTATGGAAGATTAGAAATTTGCTTCAGTATGAGATAACGATTCAGTATGAGACAACCAATAGATATATACTAAATTATCAAAGTCCTATTGCAGTTGGTACCTTCATGTATATATACGTGTTCGTGTGTATCAATTACCTTCACGCAGTTTATCGTGTGTGATCACATGCTGTTACACATGCTGACTCAGCAATATATAAACGAGTCAAGTCTCTCGACTTACTGATGACATGTACATACTTCATTCAACAGTGATTGTTAACGTTAAATGTGTATTTATGTTCTGTAGTTCCCTTCCTACCATCACAAAACATTGAAGATATATCGTGACCTTGCCTTCCGTATCGACAATTACCACTATATCTACCGTCGTGTCTTGCGTATCTACTACAGAGATTGCTATAGTTAAAATCAAAATCCATATACCGTTTCCCACAGAGATGGCACTTTAGCAACGGGAGTATCGGATGATGATATTACGGCGTCTACTGTTTGGTACAACGGGGAATACAACATTATCTTTGCCGTAATCGGCGGCGCCTGGTGTAGAGCTCGTACACTACCGATTTCTTTATGAAACGTTTTTTTGAGGTTTTTATAAAGTTTCAATGAGACAATGTTTTGGACTAGCATAATTCATCATGCTCATAAATCTTTTCAACACTTTAACTAAGTTACTGAACTTAGCCATGGTACGCCCTCGATAGTCCTTCATTCTTCATTGTGAAGATTTTTTATTATAAATCCATGTGGGTTAAGTTCAAAAAGGCCTGTGACTTGAAAGAGGAGCATATCGTAGATAACCTATAAAATTTCACATCGGTAAATGGACGGTATCGCAGAGATAAGGCAGAAACTGAACAGCTGTCTGCGATAGCAAGTAGAACCTCTGAGGCAATCCCTCACGTCAATCTGTGATAGATCAACCAGATGATTAGCGGAAGTAGAGCTCTTCAGTCAATAGATCAAACTCCGATAATGAAGTGGAAGTGGAACTTATCAGTCAATAGATCAAACTCCGACAATGAAGAATAAATATCTGTTCCCATGGAGTGTTTTGGTATTGTGAGGCTAAGTGAAAGTAATGTTCGTATCGTAATCATGAAATATCTGCCACATACATTTTTCACTGTGACATCCAATGCTGCTTTAAGCTGACTCTCAGACATGTTGGAACATCGTGATTATCACAGCGTATATCTATGTTAAGAGAAGTGTGTTCATTATCACAGCGTATATCTATGTTATGAGAAGTGTGTTCAGTTGAGGTGTCGATGACCCCATTATAAGACGCAGAGTCAGTGGACCAGCGAGTGAGATCGGTTTTGTGCAGCTTTTATCAATATTCCAGCAATATCACGGTGGGACACGCCAGAAATGGTCTTCACACATTGTACCCAAATCCGGACATTAGTTGTGAGAAGCTCTTATTTCAACTAAACGCCATCCTAACAAATTAGTTATCATGACATAGTACATGTAGCTCCATACACTGCTACGTGGTTGTAGGTTGAGGAAAACAAGGACTAGGTAAGGATAGAGCTTACACAAATGTTAGAATATTGTTCTAATTTCTATAAACGGATTGGATTCATGTTAACAGATCAAATCACTGATCAAAACATCTTGCATTAACATACACTGAGAATATAAGTTATAATGGGCATGTGGCCCCTTAGATGCATAAGCCCAGCTCTCTCAATATTAGGGAGGGGCTCACCCCCAAACTTTAAATACACCTATAACAGAAGTATAAATGCTTTGAGAGTGAGTGAGTGAGTATGGTTTTACGCCACATTTCGCAAAAACAATTTCACATGTTCATCTTCCTGAGAGACATCACCATGCTTCTTGCCTCTGTAATTGTTAAAATCTTAAGAAAAACGATATCAACGGGTAGTTAATTGTGAAAACGTTTGACATATGAAATCAAGCAGCTGAAGTTGGCTTGAAACAGTTTTATAATAATAATAATAATAAGAAGAAGAAGCATATAAAAGAGACAAACCCTTTCTATGTTGTGTTTCACTTCGTTATCATTTGGAATGTAATATTTCATTAATATAAAATGTGAACACCAGAGAATATCGATTACCCGCCGCAACAGATTCCATTCAGCGCAAAAGGCAAAAAAGAGGTGAAAATTATATGAATGGATCACTAAAAATCAGTCATGACACCAAGTAGTCGCGAAAAGGGTTCTGCACTACCGGCAGCACCCGCCACTGCCACAATTTGAAGACTTAAGTGTTGTTTAAAAGAATATCTCCAAATTTAACTCATTGTTCAGTGGTATTTCTTGCAGACCCTCGGGACGGCCCCGCCCCCTGTGTGGTGGCCTGGGACGACATCCTGTGCTGGGACGAGACCCCCCCGGGGACCATGGCTCAACAGACCTGCCCAGATTATGTCAACGGTTTCAACAAAAATGGTAAGGGATATGTACAGTGTATTTCCATTGTATAGAGTAATAGCAGTTTAACCGAGACACAGGCGGGGATACTAGGGCAAAGATGCTCCCTTTGGTTTATTACGTTTTGAAGATGTGAGGCAAGAAAACACCTAGTAAAGATAGCATATGTACAATTTAGAAATTCACTTAAAGGAAGCCATATATCGATACTAAAAGTCTGAAAGTCTGAAGTAACACGTGCCCTAATTACGTCACAGTGAGACTATCTTTCTGCACATGACACCATTTCATAACAATAGCTTCATTGAACCCAACTCGCAAACACATGGTGTTTCGAATAAACATTCCTGTTAGTATAAGTATTTGTGAATATATCTACAACCGAACAACTCGTGGTTTGCACGGAATTGTCAGCTCCTTTTGGGGTAAATAAGCGCTTGGAATGAGCGATAGACAGCTACCATTGACGTGCGATACTGGGGCATTCTGTTAGTCGAGACTGTCAATGAGAATTGAAATATTTCTGTTGTCTACCTCGATCGTACAACCCATGTTTTGAGCAATGAGCGAGTGAGTTGAGTTTATCACCACTTGGAAAGGTATTTCAGTTACATCGCGGTGTGCTACATCAGCTTGATGTGGGAGATAAACCTAATGTGATGAAGATGCTAGACTTTTACCACTTCTTGGAGACCTCTAGGGTAGGGTACTGATAGACCAATCAACTCTACTGTCCAAATGGCAAGGGGAGTCAGACAAGGGGAGTCTGCAGAAAAGCAGCCCAATCTGCCAGTAATAGACACTAGGGGCTAGCATAACCACTGGAATATGGGTTTGGAAAAATAACATGATAACCCTAGAAATGTCTTAAAAGCTTTGAATAATGATAGTTTTAACAACTTAAATGCTGCTTAGAAATCTCCGCATGTCGTGTTCATAGTGCAGTCACAACCATAACTTTGTCAAGATGTTTCCCACAAAATGTCTTCACCTGTAGACATGTGCGCGGCCATGTTTCCGTGGGTTGGTACATTCTGTACCAAGGGTCTGTGGCTCATCATAAATACAAGGAGGATGCACTGCAATAACTGGGACAGGTAGGGGAGACAAAAACTTTGGGTGATACTTCCGTATCTGGCGACCCATTAGATATACATATATCAAATATACTTGATGTGTTGTTATCACTATCTTACCCTGAGGCCTTTATATATGTGTAATATATATACTTCGAATTCATGTCCGTTATTCAGTTATGGCCTGATGAGACTCATACGTGGTGCGAGTAGAAAGCGCTAGCCGATTAAAACTGTGTTCAATCTTACTCCACTTATTTTATTATTACTATATATATATATAACTTCTAATCTAATATCATCCAGTGTGATCTATGTAATAAATTTCAGGATTAGAAGTTATTATCGATAGGGGACCTCTTTAAACTACTTTTTTCTGTAGGTTAAAAAAAATATATTTCTGTTAATTTTATTACTACAGATTAATAGTAATGACCTTTAGATCTTCGAACCATCGATTATAAAGTGTCGTCTCACCTGGTTTTTTCTTGTACTTCAATAAAAAACTGAACGTTTTGTTGACTAATTTGAAAGGTCGAGAGTAACATAAATGAAGGCGATCAGTGTTGGGCGGCAATGGATCACTCAAAGCCTAAACAAATCAGTTTTAAAGGGATGTTCAGTTTTATATCACGCCTTGTTATAACAGTAACCCAGTGAAAAAGATGCACCCTAGCTACACGAGTTGTCACGACCACTCGTCTTCTAGTCGATAACAGCTAACGTTGTAAAATTGATTAGGACTAGGATTTCAGGTTAATTAGGTTATATCTTCATGAAAACGGACAAACTAGTATTAATGATGATAAGGTTTCCATGGTGACGGAATTGAACAGAGTTCTGGTGAAGGATCTAATAGAAATATAATTATTCTGCACTTGTAACTATAACTTAAAACCATAATACATAAAACTCTAGGCAATAAAAGCATTAAACCATTAACACAAAAGCATTAAACCATACATATAAAACCATTAAACATAACATAATTAAAAAATAAAAACATAAACATAAAAAGTATGATATCGGCCATGTTTAAAAGTACATGACGCTACTTCCGACGTCTTTCCGTATTCCCAAAACCTGCATATGAAATCATGTGTTTATTGTGTTGATAAAACCACACGTTGGTTTCTATTTTCATTTGACATGCAACAGAGTTCGTTAAAAATACCCAAACACCAAATACCTTGCCACTATGTGTTTGTTTGTTGTTTAATGCCGCACCCGGCAATATTTCAGCTATATGAAGGTGGTCTGTAAATATTCAAGTCTGGACTAGACAATCCAGTGATTGACATCATGACCATCGATCCACGCAATTGTGACACGATGACATGTATCAACCAAGTCAGCGATCCCGTTAGTCACGACTTTCTACAAGCATAGTCACCTTTTACAGCAAGATGGGTTGCTAAAGACCTATTCTACCCCGGATCTTCACGAGTATTGCCACTATGTGACCACATGATAAGTGAGATACTTCATTTCATTTCATCCATACATTATGACTTCTCTGCCTTCATCAGTCAACAAGACCCAGCGTGTCAGACGGCAACACTGTCCGAGTCTGAGTGATGACCTAGGAGGCTGCCCATGTGATTAGTGTTTGTGAAGTGTGGACAGCGGCTGGACCATTCTGTAGGGGACACAGGTGGCCCATCGATGTAGGAAGAAAGCCCAGTGTGGTGCAGGTCTTAGACGTTTACGTCTTTGGTGAAACACGAACATAGGAATGAAGCTGGAACATATTTGTGTCATATCTGGGATTCAAACCCACGATCATAGGCTTCGTTATAAGTATCGTCATCATTTAATTCATGTTAATATCAGAACTGACTATCTAAACTATCGGAAGCTCAAGTTTAATTTTCCTTGTCCCTTCTGTATTGGTGGAGTTAATGGCCAATACATCCCTGCATTCTTTCTCAGCATCTCCATGTGTTTATGCTGGCGCTGCAACATGTTAACGCATGTGCCTGTTTTAAGGGAGTGTGCGTTAACATAAATATTTGGAAAAACACAACGGGAAAGTGAAGAATGAAAACTGACACATCTCTGAGCGTAAGTCTATTACACAGGGGTAAGTAGCACTGAAGGATCGTTAACAACTGGTTGTCCGCAACTGTTCATTCATAAATCTTCGCAAGTATACATTTATATGTATGCATGTACTCAGCAGCTTGACAGCTTCATAGTGCAACAAAATAATAAAACATTCAGATGCAAAACATTAAATACAAACTCAACGGTTCCGAATACGCACAATCGAAGGGGCCTATAGAAAGGACGATGTTTCTCTCCGAGCAATGTCCTTGTGTTAGTAGAAAGAGTTATGCCTTCACAACTGAGGTTCTGCGTATGTTTACTGGCCTTGTACAAGGCACTAGCTTTCCTCCCACATTATTAAGCTGACACACGGTGAAGTACGTGCAGTACGGTTAAAGGCAGCGTTAATTCTCTATTTCCAACTTGACTTATATTATTCGCATTGCTAGTTTGTTTGAATAATTATTATTTTAATTATTAATTTTCCTTGTACAAGTGGTTCACATTTGAGTATTTCGTCTCTTTTGACGTATGAATCATGTAGCTCATGCCGTGGCAATGCCAAATTTCAATTGCTTCAGACGTAGAAGCGGGGACAAAGTAACTAAAGTGCGCCATAGAGAGGATGCTTTTTTGTGACGGTCTATTTAAAGTCGTAAGAGACGACTAACGGGATCGGGTGGTCATGCTCGCTGACATGGTTAATGCATGTCATCGTTGCGTGGATCGTGGTCATGATGTCAATCACTGGATTGTCTGGTCATAACTCGATTATTTACAGACTGCCGTCATTTAGCTGGAATATTGTTGAGTGCAGTGTTACACAACAAACAAACAAAAGAAACACATGTTTGGGTATTTTTAACGAACTCCGTAGCATGTCAAATAAATATAGTTTTTAAAGTTTTAATGTTGTTACGGTTTAATGCTTTTATATTTATGGTTTAATGCTTTTATATTTATGGTTTAATGCTTTTATATTTATGGTTTAATGCTTTTATATCATGGTTCAATGCTTTTATACTTTATTTGCTTAGAAGTTTATGTGTTATGGCTTCAAGTTATAGTTTATGTTTTTATGGTTTTGGTGTTAATGTTTCATGCTTTAATGCTGTTAAGTTTAATGGTTTTCTGTTTATGGTTTAATGCTTTTATATTTTATTTGCTTAGATGTTTATGTATTATGGCTTTAAGTTATAGTTTATATTTTTATGGTTTTGGTGTTAATGTTTCATTCTTTAATGCTGTTATGTTTGATGGTTTTCTTTTTATGGTTTAATGCTTTTATGTGTATGGTTTAATGTTTTTATGGTTTAGAGTTACATGACCTCGCTCAGCTTTCAACTATGGTGATGATTTCTTTAAAGAAAAGAGCTGGGTTCAAAATGGTCGTATTTAGGTTGTTAGGCCTCCAAGCCAATACAGTTTCTCTGAAGCTTTGCTGAAAGACTTCAAGAGTGTGTCTGCAAGGACGTCATAAATCCTTCGTCGTTGTTTTTACAATTGTATTTATTGTCTTGCTTTCACATAATTCGAATATTCTAACGACTATAAAGTTAATTTGGTTATTATTTCTCCAAGTTTTGCAGTAAGTGCCATTCCTTCGTAATGATTGAACACTCTAGGCTTCTGTGGTCTTTGATCTATTTCCTTTTGTTCACCATTGATCACTGTCATTGCCGTAGTGACAATCTGATCTGACACTCTTTGTTCTTAGGTCTGTAATCCCAGCTCACAAAAACTACCACTTGATACTTTTGAGGACTCACGTTTGAACCATTCATTCTCGAAAAGGTTCTTTTGAGGATTAACCGATATTTCAATCATCACATCTTATATTACAATACATATTGAACTTGAAATTGCCGTGTGTGAAACTGTGTGTCCCTTAATGTACCCGCGATATTGCGAAACAGGGATGTCAATATATATTATTTTCAAGTGTATTCGTAAAGACAATGGCTAAAATCACATCTGAGTGTTATTGGTGACGAGCGTACCCACTGTCTGTGAGGTCAACTCATCTCTCAGTTCTCAACTGAATGTGTAATCACCAGACAAACGTGCGTCTAGATCAATGTTTACAGAAGCTAGCCCGCAAAGCATAACAACACTTATACAATGGAAACAAGTACCGAGCCCATCGAACCAGTCACCGACCAACCCAGAACGACCACTCACTCAGTGCTGGTTTTCAGTGCTAATGTTTATTATCCGAATCCAAACCGATGACATGTTTGGTTAGACACTGCTTTGGAGAGTTTTTCTTAACTCTAGATATATAACATGCATGTTTTACACTAAATTCTGCATGGAAACATCGGTGCTTGTCTATAAATGCTCAGACTAACGACACGTTTGGGAGTCCTGAGACTTGAAACAGGTTTTAATATCTCACCAAAATACCCTGCGGTGATACCGATCACGATACGACAGTCTTGTCTTTCCCGTTAGATTCTTCAACGTTGTTCCCTGCACAATATATTTTGTTTTCAATATCTGCGGAATAATATTAATATAACTATCCAAAAAATCTCAGCCCGCTCCTTTCTCCATATTGGATGGTGTTATGCTACACTGGGGACAGTAGGTCTGGGACCTCTGCATGTATACGACAATTTACTCTGAAAACGGCAACAAAACGGGCATGTGCTGCTGGTTTTATATCACTAAAGTGTCAGCAGTTGGTATGTTGCTAAGTGATGGCTATTTCAACATGTGATATACGTTCTGGATATTCTAATCAATATATCTTTACAAGTGCTGCTTATGAACGAGCGAGTCTGAGCCTCGCATGATTTGAGTGAATCTGTGAATAGCCCGTGTGACCTAATGAAATCACCCGACATCTATGTGTTGTCATAAGAAGGATTTGATGCCAGAATCTAATCCCGACGGTGCCTCGCCGCTGACCCTGGCTAACACATCTTCTCACTTGTCAAACCGGAACGGGGGAAATATGCAAACACAGGGCTGTACAAAGTCAAAGACCTTATCAATGTCACGATCATATTTCTTGCGCGAATATGTATATACTTCATATACATAAAAATAAATATCGCGTGCCTTTAAGTTGTCATACATAATTTTGTCCAATTCATACTTTCAAATATATACTGCTTAAATAAACATACTTGTAAATATTTCATACCCGCAAAATTAGATCAATTCTGAAAACACGGCATTTTTTCAAACATAATCCCCTAATTTGAAACGCAACGAGCAGCAGCACTGGGCTGTCATTCTCTTCATTAAAGACAAGTACACAAACCTTGTACTCCCATGCGTGCACCTGTTCTAACACTTTTTACGTTGCTTCCTTTGATGTGTAAAGAATCATACTTCTCTTGATTAAAGAATTTTTGAACATGTTTTCACTCTTTTCACAGAAAAACACATGCGGCATCCATGTGTACATACTCGGGGTATATTTGGTAAATTAAATTTATTTTTATCTCTAAACAAACACCCTTGCTTACCTTTGTGTCTTGCTAACCCACGAGGGGGAAAACATTAGATTGTGGAGCACATACATAAACAGGGTAACATAAACGTCATTACACCGAATAAACAATGGAAGTTGAAATGAGAGTCCATCTGAAGATGTTGTGATGAAAGTTGAAACCATCTCCACCTCTGAGAGTTCCAGCACGCCACAAGTACACCCTTTTTTCTTTGTTTCTGAAGCAGTCATTGGGGAAATTGTACAAACCGCAACAGGTGTGTGATAAAAGCGATCAAAGGGTGTTCACGCCAGGTGTGGGGTTTGAGTGACACACAACACGCAGTGTATTTCCTAACAGTTACAGAACTGATCTTTTTCGCGCCATTGTGTAAGAAATTCAGGAAAACAAAATCTCCACCCAAACAAGATATCGTAGAAAAATATTTTGCTTTGAATTGTTCGAAGAAATATAACTGAAAAGCAAAACGACAATACTTTTCTTAAGGTTTAACACAAAGGGAGATAGTGAGTTTGTGAGTGAGTATGGTTTTTACGCCGCTTTTAGCAATATTCCAGCAATATCAAGGCAGGGAACACCAGTAATGGGCTTCACATATTGTACCCATGTCGGGAATCGAACCCGGATCTTCGGCGTGATGAGCGCTTAAATAGCTAGGTTACCCGATCGCCCCTAAAGGAAGATAGGGACACTTTGATACACATGCGCGTATGATATTGATATATAATCACATGTAAAAAATAAAAATAAATCAGACATCCGATTAAAGACATTTATTATAACTATTTTGCACTCACCTCGATTTAAATTATGTCCTCGCTGATTGTAGGCGTGTTGCTGATCATTAAACGTTAGAAATAATGACACTATTATTCAGCTGATGGGGTACGTGAGCCCAGGTCACGGTGACTTGTTCGGTGTTCTAATCTATCATTCTGAAGCCACCAGCTACAGGTCAATGAGTCTGACATTTTCATCCAATTACCAACACGTTCGTCACGGTGATCACAATGCAAGTTGCCATAAAGTAAGAACTGCGATGTGTGAAAACTTACACAGTCGACATTTCATTAATTAGCAGACCTATTGCGTTAATATCTTCTCGCGTTAATGTTTCCTTCTTTGACACTTCGGTCTGCAGGTAGTTAGAAAACACTGTTGACATTTGCATCTGATACTAATGTGACACCTTTGGGCATCCAATCCCAGCAACCATGTCAGAACAAACTGTTATATTTCATCATGCTAGAATCTTAAGCATTCAAAATAAGATCTTAGTATAATATTAATGTTTTAATGACCCTTTAGTAAAGCTACGGGATTGTGTCATGGTTGTAGTTTCTACTAATTTCAATAATAATAATAATTCATGGAAGATAAATGTTTGTGCATGTAAAAATAACAAAGTAAAACCTTTAGGCTAGCTGTACATACTGATATATGGGTCATTGTGTCGCACTAGAACTCCGCAGGAACAGGGCTAGAATGTGTCGCGTGCAACCTATTGCTGGTAGGAAGAGGCGACAAACCTAGAATGTGTCGCGTGCAACCTATTGCTGGTAGGAAGAGGCGACAAACCTAGAATGTGTCGCGTGCAACCTATTGCTGGTAGGAAGAGGCGACAAACCTAGAATGTGTCCAGTGCAACCTATTCCTGGTAGGAAGAGGCGACAAACCTAGAATGTGTCCCATGCAACCTATTGCTGGTAGGAAGAGGCGACAAACCTAGATGTGTCCCGTGCAACCTATTGCTGGTAGGAAGAGGCGACAAACCTAGAATGTGTCCTGTGCAGCCTATTGCTGGTAGGAAGAGGCGACAAACCTAGAATGTGTCCCGTGCAACCTATTGCTGGTAGGAAGAGGCGACAAACCTAGATGTGTCCCGTGCAACCTATTGCTGGTAGGAAGAGGCGACAAACCTAGAATGTGTCCTGTGCAGCCTAATGCTGGTAGGAAGAGGCGACAAACCTAGAATGTGTCCCGTGCAACCTATTGCTGGTAGGAAGAGGCGACAAACCTAGAATGAGTCGCGTTCAACCTATTGCTGGTAGGAAGAGGCGACAAACTTGGGAACACGTCGGGATTCCTGGTCAGAATGGCCTCTAGCAACCTATCTGATCGTAAGAGATGACTTCATGGTCTGGGTAGCCACATCATTGATCTATGGTCATAATATCACTCACTGGATTTACTCGATTGTTGTCAGGCCGACGTCATACAGTTGGAATATGTCTGTGTGTGGCTCAAATCACATAGGGACAACTATATAGGTATAAGCCCATCATGTAGACTTCTTGTTATCGTTTCAGAGTTTGCAAGACGGTACTGTGATGAAAACGGGTCGTGGTGGGTCAACCCTGCGAACAACTACACGTGGACCAACTTCAGCGCCTGTGAGAAGCCCGCCATTGACCTCCGATATCATGCCGTACGTGTGTACGTTTCCAAACAAACATAGAGTTACCTGCCCCTCGATCTTAACCACATAAAGTTGATAACCGGCAGGCTGTCAGAGCACATTGCTCGTTAGGAAAAGGAGCATTTATTATATACACTGTTGTGTGTTGCATATCTAGCTGATTTCTACACCTTTTCTTCATACATGCAGTGATACTTAAGGGTAATGCATGTTTCTCTTCCTGCTAAATCACCGTCAAAATATATACTGTGTCTTTGATTAAAACCGTCTGTCATGGTTCACCTGTGTGTGTGATTCCCCTAGTTCAAGACCTGTCATGGTTCACCGGTGTGTGTGATCCCCCTAGTTCAAGACCTGTCATTGTTCACCGGTGTGTGTGATCCCCCTAGTTCAAGACCTGTCATTGTTCACCGGTGTGTGTGATTCTCCTAGTTCAAGACCTGTCATTGTTCACCGGTGTGTGTGGTTCCCCTAGTTCAAGACCTGTCATTGTTCACCGGTGTGTGTGATTCCCCTAGTTCAAGACCTGTCATTGTTCACCGGTGTGTGTGATTCCCCTAGTTCAAGACCTGTCATGGTTCACCGGTGTGTGTGATTCCCCTAGTTCAAGACCTGTCATGGTTCACCAGTGTGTGTGATTCCCCTAGTTCAAGACCTGTCATTGTTCACCGGTGTGTGTGATCCCCCTAGTTCAAGACCTGTCATTGTTCACCGGTGTGTGTGATCCCCCTAGTTCAAGACCTGTCATGGTTCACCGGTGTGTGTGATCCCCCTAGTTCAAGACCTGTCATGGTTCACCGGTGTGTGTGATTCCCCTAGTTCAAGACCTGTCATGGTTCACCGGTGTGTGTGATTCCCCTAGTTCAAGACCTGTCATGGTTCACCGGTGTGTGTGATCCCCCTAGTTCAAGACCTGTCATGGTTCACCAGTGTGTGTGGTTCCCCTAGTTCAAGACCTGTCATTGTTCACCGGTGTGTGTGGTTCCCCTAGTTCAAGACCTGTCATGTTTCACCGGTGTGTGTGGTTCCCCTAGTTCAAGACCTGTCATTGTTCACCAGTGTGTGTGGTTCCCCTAGTTAAAGACCTGTCATGGTTCACCAGTGTGTGTGGTTCCCCTAGTTAAAGACCTGTCATGGTTCACCGGTGTGTGTGATTCCCCTAGTTCAAGACCTGTCATGGTTCACCGGTGTGTGTGATCCCCCTAGTTCAAGACCTGTCATTGTTCACCGGTGTGTGTGATCCCCCTAGTTCAAGACCTGTCATTGTTCACCGGTGTGTGTGATTCTCCTAGTTCAAGACCTGTCATTGTTCACCGGTGTGTGTGGTTCCCCTAGTTCAAGACCTGTCATTGTTCACCGGTGTGTGTGATTCTCCTAGTTCAAGACCTGTCATGGTTCACCGGTGTGTGTGATCCCCCTAGTTCAAGACCTGTCATGGTTCACCGGTGTGTGTGGTTCCCCTAGTTCAAGACCTGTCATTGTTCACCGGTGTGTGTGTTTCCCCTAGTTCAAGACCTGTCATGGTTCACCAGTGTGTGTGATTCCCCTAGTTCAAGACCTGTCATGGTTCACCGGTGTGTGTGGTTCCCCTAGTTCAAGACCTGTCATGGTTCACCGGTGTGTGTGGTTCCCCTAGTTCAAGACCTGTCATTGTTCACCGGTGTGTGTGGTTCCCCTAGTTCAAGACCTGTCATTGTTCACCGGTGTGTGTGATCCCCCTAGTTCAAGACCTGTCATTGTTCACCGGTGTGTGTGGTTCCCCTAGTTCAAGACCTGTCATTGTTCACCGGTGTGTGTGGTTCCCCTAGTTCAAGACCTGTCATGGTTCACCGGTGTGTGTGTTTCCCCTAGTTCAAGACCTGTCATGTTTCACCGGTGTGTGTGGTTCCCCTAGTTCAAGACCTGTCATTGTTCACCGGTGTGTGTGATCCCCCTAGTTCCAGACCTGTCATGGTTCACCGGTGTGTGTGATTCCCCTAGTTCAAGACCTGTCATGGTTCACCGGTGTGTGTGATCCCCTAGTTCAAGACCTGTCATGGTTCACCGGTGTGTGTGATCCCCCTAGTTCAAGACCTGTCATGTTTCACCGGTGTGTGTGGTCCCCTAGTTCAAGACCTGTCATGTTTCAGGACATCGCCAACAAGCTGCGGCTGCTGTACACTGTGGGGTACAGCGTATCTCTATCAGCTCTCGTTGTCGCCGTCATCATCATGCTCTGCTGCAGGTTGTTGCCTTCAAATTTACATCCATATAATATAAATATTATTTTCTAACAAAACATAAGTCATTATTTGTCATTCATATTGTCTGTTTAACTCAAAACGTTATCCTTTAACAAGGTGTGAATGTATTGCTCCAAGTATAAGTGATATTATATCATCATTTCCCTGTCCTTTAAATCATATTATATTAAGTTATTAAGTTTTCATCAAAATGCATTTGCATATCACTAATATGCTAGTAATATTACAGGCAAGATTCCAGTGGCGTCCTTATTTACTGTCCTTATATATATTGTTCTGATATTCTCAGGAGACTGAAAAGTAAAAGCAACATTCTTCACATCAACCTCTTCATTGCCTTCATCCTGAGGGCGTCCGTCTCCTTCCTCAAGGATCTGTTGTTTAAAGGGGTTGGTCTGGACATGGATGTCAGGCTGAAGTCAGATGGGACGTACGAGTTCCTGGACGGCCCAGTGAGTTGTTGCCCCTCCAGAAAAGCCACCCCTTCTCTTTCTGTGTTACTCGTGTATTTGACAGTATTTCACATTTTCACAGTGGCCCAAAGCGCTGTAACTAACTTACAGAGTTGCGTCCCTTATGTCAGCTGCTAAGATGCGCTAGTCTTAGGTTCTCATCCATTTATTCACCTGATTATGATCCGTATCTGTCAGCACGAGACTGGCAAATGTTTCATCTCAACAGCAAACGTCTAGGATCAAGTGCAGGCCTATCAGAGGAAATCAGCAGAGAGCAACCATCTTTTGAACACACTTTAAATAGAAACAGCCACACAAATTACAAACAAGGCACAATCCCCATAAAGTTTGTGTCGTGATGATTAAAACTTGACACATTCTCAGTGCAAACCGGTCTTCGAGATTTATTGAAAATGTGGCGGGGTTTTAATCATTACGAGCCAAACTTTGTGGGGATTGTGTCTTGTTCGTAGTTATTTGTGTGGCTCTCGTAGTTATTTGTGGTAGGCCTGAAGAACAGTTTGACATTGCTCCTCTCCTCTAATGGCCAATTTCGACATGCTTTGGAAACTTTACATTTGATTGGCGAAAAGGGCTCCAAGTCGCAACAACATGGCGATTCTCGTAGGCATTTCCTGGATACTGTTAAACCATATTGCCTCAAGTGACATATTTCTTCTCAAACAAGTTGGAATTACGTTCCAATATGAAGTTAACGTTAATGTATTCCTACACTAACATGAAATATGAGAATATTGGTATTGGCTGTATGTGGAACTATTTTTGGTCATTGGACATGGAATATTGCTGTTATCTATTATACAACACTGTGTCTGTTTAAAGTATTATTACAGTAATTTTGATTGCTCTTTCGTTACTTCCAACGTGGATACAAAAAATCGTCATCTGAAATAGAAACAAATGTTTCGAAATCACCAAAATGCGAGCGGTACTACTTTCAAACGCTGATGCTGTGTCGTAAGTCGATTTTATGAAATTTACATGATGCCTAATTAACAGAATTTCGCGCATATCGGGGACAGAAAATGCATGATTCCTAGCAAAATTACACACTCTATGGTTCGTGTCTCTTTTTGTTCTCAAAATTTCAGATCTGCAGTTTTTGTTAATATACATTTTTAGAATTTTAAATACAATATTGTCGAAATAAATATCACACCGAAAAGATTCAAGACGTTAACAACTGACGTCAGGTTAAACATATTCGACTACATGTACGCGTGTTCAAGGTATAGGAAATACATTAATTTATCTTTTCAACAATCAAATGGATACTAAGGTGTTTGAACCGCCTGGTGGTTCAAGACGTTAACAACTGACGCCAGGTTAAACATATTCGACTACATGTACGCATGTTCAAGGTATAGGAAATACATTAATTTATCTTTTCAACAATCAAATGGATACTAAGGTGTTTGAACCGCCTGGTGGTTCAAGACGTTAACAACTGACGTCAGGTTAAACACATTCGACTACATGTACGTGTGTTCAAGGTATAGGAAATACATTAATTTATCTTTTCAACAATCAAATGGATACTAAGGTGTTTGAACCGCCTGGTGGTTCAAGACGTTAACAACTGACGTCAGGTTAAACATATTCGACTACATGTACGCGTGTTCCGGGTATAGGAAATACATTAATTTATCCTTTGAACAATTAAATGGATACTAAGGTGTTTGAACAGCTTGGTGGTCACAACGTTCATTCGGCACGTCTAAGACCAATGTTCAGTTTCCTGTACTGGATACCGGGACTGTGGAGTTTCAAGCTCAGTGTTTCTGTCCCACAGCACTGGCAGTGTAAGCTGCTGTTCTGCCTCTTCAACTACACCATCACCGCCAGCATCATGTGGATCTTCATAGAAGGCTTGTATCTGCACATGCTGATATACAGGACGCTGTCAACAGAGCGGAACGGCGTGTCATTCTATATAGTACTAGGCTGGGGTATGTGCAACTTCCACTGAATGTACTGTGTGTGTCGGAGTGGGGTAGTCATGTTCAGGGGGCAAGGGTGGCCCAGTCGTCTAAGGCGCCGCGATTCACTGTGCAGAGTTGCGTCCCTTGGGCACGTCAGAAATCTATGATTGTGGATTCGAATCCCGGTTTGCCCCGATTATGTTTCTAGGTTTGTAAGCATCATACTCGTGTTCATGGTAAACGTCTGAGACCTGCATCACTTTAGGCTTTCCTCCCACATTAAGCTGACAAGACGTGATATAACTGGAATACTGTCAAAAGCGGCGTTAAACACAACTCACTCACTCACTATTCATGTTCAACTGCGGCATGGTATCTCAGTGGGCCAGCACTATAAAATCGGCATCAGTCCGGATTAGTACAAGCAGCCCCCCCCCCCCCCCCCCCCCCCACACACACACACACACGTGCATGCTCGTCGCTATGTAAGTGCAATAATGTTAAACCCCCTTACACTTCACCTTTTATATGAGTGTATGACATATCTGTGTGAGCCACGATTACAGTATAAGAACCAGAAGGAAATACAAAGTGCCTGAATTGTAACTGTTGATAATTACAGATAATTTTCCTGTCTTTGTACATATTTACTCGGGTGGCAGTTTGCTGTACAGAGTTGCTTCCCTTAGGCATGCCTGAGACGATCGTGGGTTAGAAACCCGGTTCGCCTTGATTATGTTTCTAGATTGTCACGAGTTTAATTATAACCGAAGTGGTAAACATCTGAGACCTGCATCACTTCGGGCTTTTCTCCACATCAAGACGACACGCTGTAACTGAAATATTGTTGAAAGAGGGGTTAAACCAAACTCACTTACTTTTTGGGACGTATTAGACATAACGCTAAATACCGAATCGCTAAAATCTGGGACATACTGCGCCATGACACAGATCAGTATGACAGAGGGGAGACAATGCGGTCATATAAAAGGTCATTATAAGGTCATATCGCATGGACCTTCTCTTACATAAACTAGTAAGTATTTAGCGTTGTTCATCTGAACAGTATAAATACGACCACATGACATGTCCAATACCTCACTTTCACCACAGAAGGATTAACAGTCCATTTCTCATTTCAGTTCTACCTCTGGTGTTCTTAATACCTTGGATTGTCGTCAAAGCAGTCTTAGAAAATACATAGTAAGTCATTAATTGATATCTTGATATTCCTAGGGGCGGTCGGGTAGCCTAGTGGTTAAGGCGTTGGCTCGTCACGCCGAAGACCCGGGTTCGATTCCCGACATGGGTACAATGTGTGAAGCCCATTTCTGGTGTCCCCCGCCGTGATATTGCTGGAATATTGCTAAAAGCAGTGTAAAACAATACTCACTCACTCACTCACTCACTCACTCTCTTAGGCGCAAATGGTTGGTAACGATATGTTTGCTTACATGTATTTGTACAGAAGATATATTTTTATAACATATAAAAGCATGTCTGTTTTGTTTCCTGTCTTACGCCGCACTCTTTCCAATATTCCATTTATATGATGGACTGCCTCCGTGGTCTAGAGGTAGAGCGTCCGCCTGGAGAGTGGAAGGTCCGGGGTTCGATCCCCGGCCGCGTCATACCAAAAGACGTTAAAAGATGGTACTTGTTGTTACCCTGTCTGGCGCTTGGCATTAAGGGGCTAACACAAGGACTGGTCGGCTCGGAGTCAATATACTGTGTCTGTGTGAGGTATTCATGTTAAACTGCGGCATGGTCTCTCAGTGTGCTAGCACAATAAAAAGGCATCAGTCCGGACTAGTACAAGCAGCCACACACACACGTGCATGCACGTCGCTATATAAGTGCAATAATCTTGGACGCGACGTTAAACCCAATTTCACCTCACCACACCATTTATATGATGGCCGCTTGAAACATATCGAGTCTAAAACATACACCAATGGTCGATATGATGAGCAACATTCGACACCGTCGGGTTACGATGAAACGCAGTCAACCGGTCAACGAGTCTGACCACCGACCCTTTAATACAATACACTGCTGGAGTCTGTTCTAACCCGACTTACCAGGGTGAGATGGAAGTAAATGCATCATTATAATTGCTATTCACTAAAAGCTATGTGTAACAATATGAAAGTCAGCGTATGTTACTGACGCATTATACACTGCAGTCAGTGAAAAGAAAAGTTTAGCCACCAGGGTCTACCTATGATTCTGCGTAATCTGAGACTCGATGACTTTGACCTAATGTGACAAGAAGATGTGTATCTGATGTTCATGCCATGTTGTTTTGCTTCTCCAGCTGCTGGAACATACAGACAAGGTCCGAGTTTCTGTGGATATTAAAGGGTCCGGGAATAGCTGTAGTGTTAGTAAGTTGACGCACTCATTTCTTTGCATGATATACATTTTGCATGTAATCGTACGTAATGATGGCATATGATAATGTCTAATAAGTATTAATGGCTGTTTCAGTTCTAATGAGATATGATGTATATATAACACACATTAATGGATATCAGTATCAAACTGTTTTAACAAATTTAGATTGTCTGCCACAAATAAATACATTGTTGCAAGGCGATTTTAAAAAAAATGAGTATTATGGCTCATAGTATTAATTGAAAAAATATCTGGTTTGGCGGGTGTAGCAGAAAAAAATATTTAGTCTCTATACAAAATCCCAGAAGAATGAGTTAGTGTGGTTTTACACACATTTACACATCTGTATTGCGTTAAGCAATATTTCAGCAATATCACAGCTGGGGACACCGGGAATGGGCTTCACACATTGTACCCATGTGGGGAATCGAACATGGGCCTTCGGCGTCATAAGCAGCACTTTAATCACTACGCTACCCAACCGCCCCCTTATGTGGGAAGAAAGCCCAAAAGGACGCAGGCCATAGATACTGGTGAACCCACAATTATTCCAGTTTCATACTGGAGTGACCACTTCCGTGGTCTAGTTATAGAAGTGCAAAAATTCTGTACGCGACGTTAAACCTCACCTCACCCCACCTCACCTACCCTCACCTACCCTCACCTACCCTCACCTACCCTCACCCCACCTCACCTCACCTCACCTCACCTCACCTATGATGGAGTCCTCACAATGTGGACCCCATGACCTATTGTCTAGGGGACATAACTCTGCACAGACTGTTGCAGCGTCTTAAACATCCGGGTCACTGTGTCCATTGAACTCTTTCATCATGATGCTCGGCCACACATATCCATCTTCTCATGATTAAGGTGAATATGGAGAACGCATGCAATGACCCCATGCACCAAGAACTTCATTTATGATTACTTTAGGCCTAAGGTAACTTGTTTATGTCCTTGCAGATTAATTTCTTCTTCTTCCTGGACATATTTCGTATATTGTTCCTCCGAGCGAGGGCGAACCAGCGGCATCTGGGAAAAGCCAAGTACAAGTAGGTATCACCATGGAGCCATGTCTTGCAGATAATACAAGTAGGTATCGCCATGGAGCCATGTCTTGCAGATAATACAAGTAGGTATTACCATGGAGCCATGTCTTGCAGATAATACAAGTAGGTATCACCATGGAGCCATGTCTCGCAGATAATACAAGTAGGTATCGCCATGGAGCCATGTCTTGCAGATAATACAAGTAGGTATCACCATGGAGCCATGTCTTGCAGATAATACAAGTAGGTATCACCATGGAGCCATGTCTTGCAGATAATACAAGTAGGTATCACCATGGAGCCATGTCTTGCAGATAATACAAGTAGGTATTACCATGGAGCCATGTCTTGCAGATAATGAGCCGACGTAATGAAACACCCATTCTTAGCATGAGTAGACAAATATGTTTGTGACAGAAGCACGTAACGAGGCTTGTAGCTGTCAAAGGGGAATGTTTTTTCACACTCTACATCTACACGTCCGTATTTGAATGACACATGTTTCAACTGCCTTTAATCTACATACTGAAAACCCACTTAAAGCGTCGAACTGGTTAATAATGAGTCACTATTACACACATGGAGAACCATGGGTGAGTCTCCGGGAAATGTCATAAGGCGCAAAAAATGTCATGTAATGTCCTTTGGTCTTCAAAGTTGGAGCATATTTTTAAATGTCAAACGAAACATAATTATCTTTAATGGTCTCTTGTATGTCTTTTGACGACAATTTGCCAAATTTCAACTCAAGCATTATTTGAGCTACATTTTTTACTAAACAGTGGTGTCATCACTTATTTTCAGTGGTCCATTCATGTAATTTTCACAGCTACTTGCCCTTTACACCAAGTGGAATCTGTTTCGACAGAAAAGCTAGGCTGGTTATTCTCTTGCACTGACAATTTAAATTGTATATATTTGTTTTGTTGAAACAGTATTATAAAAGATATAGGTCCTGTTGAAATAAGTCTTTCCAGATAACCAGACAATTAACACCTTTACAACATTCTTAATGTTCTTAAATGATGTGTGGATGAACTGGGAAATGTTTACATTATGAAATGTTTCTGTTTCAGAAAGTTGGCCAAGTTCATCCTGGTCCTCATCCCGCTGTTCGGCCTGATGTACATCATCCTGATCGTCGCCTTCCCTGCTGAGTTCACGCAGGATGATTACAACCTGTTTTATCTGTACATAGAAATGGGCTACAACTCATTTCAGGTATCCATTTCGCATCAGTATTACCATCCTCGGTGATACAGGGTATTATACTGCCACTCTATGATGATAAATACCCATTCTCTACCGTAGCTTCGTTTTCAACCCGATAATTATCACGAAGCCGTGCAATCAAATTAGTATCCTCAAATGACCACACACTTCAGTGCTAAGTTAGCGATAAGGGAGATTGAAGCGGTGGCATCAAGGGTCAGACTTTAAAGGCCATTTAGCAGATATTTCTTATGATCATGGAAATGGTTTTGTCGCTATTATTTAGTTACTGGTATTTCAAGCATGTCAACAGGCCTAATAGGTACGACAAAGGTGCTAATCATATAAGGTCACAAACCGGTACAGTGCATTACAACGTCTTTGACAACTGTGTCTGCAGTGTTCCCGCTTGTCGAGATGCAACAAATTATAATTATAAAGTAATTTTACAGGTAGCTGTGTCATTCAAAGCTGTGTGTTACTTACTTCTGGTTTATTGCATATATAGCGTTATCATGTGTTACTTAGAATCACAAACATGCATGTCTAATAGTCTGAGAGACATCAACATTGGTACAAATATTTAATTGTACTTTAATATATCACATTTTATTACATATATTATTTCGTTATCCTTTAGTTTCTGATTGGAAACTAAACGTATTCTACTCCTGTTTGTTATTCATTTCAGGGCTTTCTTCTTGCCTTACTGTTCTGCTTTTTAAATGAAGAGGTAGGTCCAGCATGTTTATATTTTCCTGCGTTGTGGTGAGTGAAGGTGGGTTTTCACATACCTCATACTATTTCACGAATGTAAATGGACAAGATTGATATGCAGTTCGAAATAAATCGGTTTACATGACGAAATTCATTTCCATAACAGATATCCAAATTAATCCATGGTCAAACGTTCAAGCAACATTCAAACACGTCAACTTAAACATATGTGAACATAATAAATACATAAATAATTTAGTCATCAGAGAAAAACATTGGCGTAAAGTAATGTAAATATAGCATTTACATCTATATAGCCGTTACATGTTTGTCAACCTATGAAACAAGTGACATAACTCGTGAACCTTTACCTCTTCCAAAGGGGACAAATAAGCAATATCTGGGAGCATATTTCCAAATCAAATCTTTTCTCGCCTTTACAGGTCCACGCAGAGATTAAGAAAATGTGGTACCGCCACAAATCCAGACGAGCAGACGACGCTACGTTTACAAAATCACTTGGAGCATCATCATGGCGGAAAAGCTCGGGTAGCAAGTCTTCTCCTGCTTCGGAGCGTCGCCAGGGAGATTGTAGTAGACAAAAAGTGGGGTCAACGTGCTCATGTGACCATGACAAATCGGATCACCTGCTCAAGAAAGCATTGATTGCAAATGCAAAACGGGTCGTTTCTGAACATAACACTGAAGGTGACCAAGGAGGAGGTAACTCTATTGAAAGCGCTGCGATATCAAGGGACATAACTGCTTGCAGTTGTGCAGCGGATGTGTGACAGAACAACGTTTGTACAAGCGGGGATACAAACATTATTCATATGAAGTAGTTACTTATTCGGTGATTGAATTGTTATGGAATAATATTCGAACGGAGCGGTTTCAGGGTTATCCTTGTGTACCATTGGTGTACATCTTTACATTACTGTGAAAGATATCACACACATGTAAAGGCAAAGACCGGCCATAACATATCAGACATGTGACGATGGTCATTTCACAAAGGACGTGAAAGTACCTCATTTTGCTGTTATCAATATTGGCATGACGGAAGTATAATTCATATTCTGTAAAGACTTACCTCCGAAGTTTGTTTACCCGTTTCTTTTCTTGTAATACAAATTCGAGTATGAATGCCTCTGAGACTGTCAAGTTAAATATATTATCATGTTATGTAGACGTCTGTCCACGAGGATATTCTATCTTTGAGGTTTTCACCAATGATTGCTGTTTGTCAAATTACACAGTGATTGGAGCTTACATATATGTTACATTTCCATGACCTATTTCTATTTGATAGGGCAAAACATACATGTACAGATCTCAAATAGTTTGTTTATTTCAGATTGAATTTAACAACACATATTAATTGATCATACTATACCTCTCCTCGTAAGGGACAAATGAAATAGGTTACCAGTGGTATTAAGCCACAAATGATGGCCCCAGACAGTCTACAAGTTTTAGTCATGTACAGTTATTATACACTGTACTATTTACTATTTCAACATACACACAGAATTTCTGACTCGACTCGATGGGTAATAGCTACTTTGTCAGGACATCTGGTGTACAGTGTAAGTAAAACATGAGGCAAAAGTATTTTTGAGTGTGTACTGAAACAAATTATTTCTTTTAAATAAAATCCTAGGCCATCCCCGTAGCCCTCATCTCAAGACCAGTATCTATTAAGTAACACAGTATGTTCTGTAACTGGACCAGCATGGGTTCACTGTCCTCATCTCCAGGCAGTATCTATTAAGTAACACAGTATGTTCTGTAACTGGACCAGCATGGGTTCACTGTCCTCATCTCAAGACCAGTACCTATTAAGTAACACAGTATGTTCTGTAACTGGACCAGCATGGATTCCCTGTCCTCATCTCCAGGCAGTACCTATTAAGTAACACAGTATGTTCTGCAACTGGACGACCAGCATGGGTTCCCTGTCCTCATCTCCAGACAGTACCTATTAAGTAAAACAGTATGGTCTGCAACTGGACCAGCATGGATTCACTGTCCTCATCTCCAGGCAGTATCTATTAAGTAACACAGTATGTTCTGTAACTGGACCAGCATGGGTTCACTGTCCTCATCTCAAGACCAGTACCTATTAAGTAACACAGTATGTTCTGTAACTGGACCAGCATGGATTCCCTGTCCTCATCTCCAGGCAGTACCTATTAAGTAACACAGTATGTTCTGCAACTGGACGACCAGCATGGGTTCCCTGTCCTCATCTCCAGACAGTACCTATTAAGTAAAACAGTATGGTCTGCAACTGGACCAGCATGGATTCACTGTCCTCATCTCCAGGCAGTATCTATTAAGTAACACAGTATGTTCTGTAACTGGACCAGCATGGGTTCACTGTCCTCATCTCAAGACCAGTACCTATTAAGTAACACAGTATGTTCTGTAACTGGACCAGCATGGATTCCCTGTCCTCATCTCCAGGCAGTATCTATTAAGTAACACAGTATGTTCTGCAACTGGACCAGCATGGGTTCACTGTCCTCATCTCCAGGCAGTATCTATTAAGTAACACAGTATGTTCTGTAACTGGACCAGCATGGGTTCACTGTCCTCATCTCAAGACCAGTACCTATTAAGTAACACAGTATGTTCTGTAACTGGACCAGCATGGATTCCCTGTCCTCATCTCCAGGCAGTACCTATTAAGTAACACAGTATGTTCTGCAACTGGACGACCAGCATGGGTTCCCTGTCCTCATCTCCAGACAGTACCTATTAAGTAACACAGTATGATCTGCGACTGGACCAGCATGGCTTGGCCGTGCTCATCTCAAGACCAGTACCTATTAAGTAACACAGTATGATCTGCGACTGGACCAGCATGGGTTCACTGTCCTCATCTCCAGACAGTAGCTATTAAGTAACACAGTATGATCTGCAACTGGAGCAGCATGGGTTCACTGTCCTCATCTCCAGACAGTAGCTATTAAGTAACACAGTATGGTCTGCGACTGGACCAGCATGTCTTGGCCGTGCTCATCTCAAGCTGTCCTGTGGAAACGTCCTCCAATTGATCTTCACAGCCTTAAGCCGCCTTTTTGACCTCAAGCTATGGTTCAACTCAGTATTGTGCTGTCTTAGACGCATTTATGCAAATGTCATTACAATAACTGAATAAATTTTATTTTCATATAACTCAGTTGTGTTGTGTGTGGGGCGGTTCTCTCATAAGTGATCTGTCCAGATCTTTCAAGGTATACCACACTGGGACTTCAAACAAATATAGGTCATTCGGTTTTAGTCTGTCTTGCTTTAATATGTGAGCGGGGGATTATGTTTCACACGGCTGTTAACCTTATTCCAGAAATGTCACGAGAGGGGTACCAGGAAGGGGCCTCAGACATTATACGCATGTGGAAATCGAATCCTGACGTTCGAGGTGACGAGCGAACGCCTTGTCCACTAGGCTACCCACCACTCTGAGTTAATTGGTCAAATCAGAGAAATATAGATCGTCCTATGACCGTATTTCCTCAAACACCATGCATGACAATACTTTGAACGTCCCAAAACATGAACTACAACCATGAAATTTCTACTGTGAACTATATATTTTCATAGTATATGACTACAGCGAATAGTGTCCATTCAATACCATAGGCGGATAAAAAAAAAAAAAAGGGGGGGGGGGGGGGGGGGGGGGGGGGTTAGGGTGTTCTAGGGGTCCGGACCCACCCACCGACCCCTCCCATCCCCCCTTTTTGAAAGTATGTTTAAAAACCAAATGTAGTATGGTGGAGGCAGTAAAATTATCTGAGTGTATTTTGATATTTGGGACCCCTCCCTTTTAAAATGCTGGAACCGCCCTTGTAATAGCGTCTTTAACATGGCCTGAAGATTCATATAAACTACATTGGTGACGTCACATACGTTGTATCATACTAGGATGAGAATTAACACAGTTTTACCCTTCACTGAGATCAGACCTTTACGAGACTATATACCGTGTACCACTCTCCGAGAAGGTTAGACGTGGAGTGACTGTATATTCTGAGTACCGTTCTCCATAAAGGTGAGACCCTGGCGTGACTGTATATTCTGAGTACCGTTCTCCATAAAGCTGAGACGCTGGCGTGACTGTATATTCTGAGTACCGTTCTCCATAAAGGTGAGACCCTGGCGTGACTGTATATTCTGAGTACCGTTCTCCATAAAGGTGAGACCCTGGCGTGACTGTATATTCTGAGTACCGTTCTCCATAAAGGTGAGACGCTGGCGTGACTATATATACTGAGTACCGTTCTCCATGAAGGTTAGACCCTGGCGTGACTGTATGTTCCGTTCCCGAAGAAGACCAGGCCATGAACGTTACTTTACGTTGTGTACCGTTCCAAGAGAAATGAAGTCATGGACAGGACTGCACATAAAGAGAAACTATTTCAAAAGACAAATGTTGAGCACTTTCCTTATAACATTAACAAGTGAGTGAGTAAGTGTGTTACGGTTTCACGTCTCTGTGAACATTATTTCCGTTCTATCAGGGCGCGTCAGCTTCAACGTAAGGATATGGACAAATACCTGCAGCGCTTTACTGGAGAGATGTGGGGAGTATCACACGGGCTTCACAAGTAATATAATATGTTTTATAATTTTCGCCGATTTGTCATCCATTCATATCATTTTCACCTTTGTCATGGCTGGTCGAGGCTGTTTCGTGGGATGGCCGGGGCTGGTTGTTCTCTGTCGTTGACGTTAATCAGCCCCCGACACAAAGTACACAACTGTATACACTCGTTCAGTAAGTTTATAACAAAGACACCCGTTACAAAACATTGAGCAATCGTCAGACATGTGACATCCAATTTTCGAACTTCAATAGGGTACCAATAATACAAGGGCAGATGTTCGTATTATAAACAATAGATATGTAATGAACTTTATCATAAGTCTACCATACACAATACTGGCTTTACACCTTTAAATGATCTGTACATACATCTTAGTGACATCTTAGCGGATTCCTGTTGGTTAATATCCATTGACGTGTTATTCATTATCATTATCAAGTGAGCACCACATAATGTTTACTGGAGGTGATCTGTATAACAGCGCGGATTGCTGGTAAAGCTACATCTACATCCTCTGGTTCGTCTGTTCCACACTCTACTATCTACAAGCTGTCGCGATGTGTCTGGAATACCGCTGCTTCTTGGGTGAAACCACATCCACTCACGTCTACCGTGACACTTTTCTTGCTGTTTACTCTCGCCATTGAACAATCTATTACAGTGAAAGTGAGTGAGGAAATATAACGGTGGGGAACACCAGAAATGGGCTGCACACATTGTACCCTATGTGGGGAATCGAACCCAGTCCTTAGGCGCGACGAGCGAATGCTTTAACCACCAGGCTACCCCACCGCCCCTATAGCAGTGATAAACGAGCGGGGCATTTGAACGCAAATTATTCCAGATTGCACGGCTCAGTGAAAACAACATTCCTTGTTTATCCTACGATTACCTACAATTACACAAGTCCCGACTCTCTTCTCTGGCTAAGATGCCCTACTTATATTTTGTGTGTGCCTGGTTCGTGGTCACACAGTAAGATTTCTTCAGCAGGGTGTGTGTTAGCGTTGTTGTCCATGGCAACAACAACTCCTTTCACCGGAAGTGTAACCGACTCCTCTCCACCCTCTCCAGTTACGTCATCACTGCGACTGATGACATTGAATGCCCTGGTTAACAGCGCTGTCTTCAGTAACGCGTCGGTGTGTTCATGCTTGTATTCAGTCGTTGAAGATGCCTGTTTTCTCATCCTCTCTCTGCGGTGTCTTCTCTCCAGAGCAGGCGATGGTTTAGAGGCCTTCTTCCATGAGCTGTTGGACGACATACGGAAAGCTGCCATGTCGTTCCTTCGGCTCTGGTGACGTCTCCACAAACGATTAAGCTCACCGTGCACCTACAAGAAAACACACTCATTACCGTCTTCTTAGAGATTACACGCCGTGATATGACTGGAATACTGTTAAAAGCGGCGTTAAACCCAACTCACTCACTCACTGACTCTTAGAGATTATATAAATATCAGTTTGGTTGTCATGCATTACGTAAGAAGAACAGGAACAATGCTCACAAACCGCTGGTCAGAATCTGGTCGAAATCATCATCGGACCCTTCCAGCTAAGGGATACATTTAGGTTCTTCAGACCAACGTGCCAACCCTGCATCATGCCAGGATTATTCTGTTTGTTCGTTGTGTAACGCCGCTCTCAGCAATATTCAGCTATATGGCGGCGGTCTTTAAATAATCGTGTCTGAACTAGAAAATCCAGTTCCGGTCACCGAGCCGCACAACCAAAGCCATGTAGTCGCATATAGCGACAAGCAAAGGTTGCTGGAGACGTTTTACCCAGAATCGAGGACAATGCAATACTACAGCCTTTATCATCATACGCCCGAACATGGAAGATGTAGCGAAGAGTTAAACAGTTTGTATCACTCTTCGAGAACCATCAGATATAAAGGTATGCGTGCAATCTATATGAACCCACCTGTCACAATTTCAGCGAGATTTCTCGCTATCAGATAGCAGTACCTCCAGTAAAACGTGTTTTTGTGTATCCATTCTGCACCATTCTGCAGCTTCACTCACCTCTTCATTTAAAAAGCAGAACAGCACTGCCAAAACGAGGCCCTGGTAGAACAGACATGATCATGTTCAGATTACAGAAAAACATATGCATTACTGCTTATTTGTTTGTTTGTTGTTTAACGTCGCACGCAGCAATATTCCAGCTATATGATGGCGGTTTGTTAAAAATCGAGTCAATAAACTCCAGTGATTGACAACATGAGCATCGATCCACACAATTTGAACGCGATGAAATGCATCAACCAAGTCGGCGAACCTTTCCACCCGATACCGTTAGTCGCCTCTTACGGCAAGCATGGGTTGCTGAAGACCTTTTCTAACCCGAATCTTCACGTGTTTTATGGACAAATAATACTCTGTCATTACATTTCGTGTTACAGAAAGAAGGGTGCAAATTTTAATAGTGAGTGAGTTTGGTTTGACGACATTCCAGCAATAAAGTCGTTTGCGGCAACATCACTGCCGGAATGAGTTAGTGTGTCATGTAAGTTGAACCTGGCTTAGGTGTGATGTGAAGCTTTAATTACTTCATACACAACCTCAAAGTAGCGAGTCTAATCTACTGCATACTCTGGCAGTCAAATAAATAATAGAACTGTAAAGCCAAGCTTACTTAACGGCAGTCATAAAAGACAAATAATCTAACCCGATCCTTAAAATACCCTATCGACTTTGTTGACTTAAATATTAAGAAGCTTTATTTGTAACCAACAAGTTTAACCATCCATACCATGTCGTAGTTTGTAACATTGATGACATTCCCAGTCATTAGTATACACACATTGAAGGAACACATGAAAGATGACATTCCCAGTCATTAGTATACACGCATTGAAGGAACACATGAAAGATGACATTCCCAGTCATGAGTATACACACATTGAAGGAACACATGAAAGATGACATTCCCAGTCATTAGTATACACGCATTGAAGGAACACATGAAAGATGACATTCCCAGTCATGAGTATACACACATTGAAGGAACACATGAAAGATGACATTCCCAGTCATTAGTATACACACATTGAAGGAACACATGAAAGATGACATTCCCAGTCATTAGTATACACGCATTGAAGGAACACATGAAAGATGACATTCCCAGTCATGAGTATACACGCATTGAAGGAACACATGAAAGATTACATTCCCAGTCATTAGTATACACACATTGAAGGAACACATGAAAGATGACATTCCCAGTCATTAGTATACACGCATTGAAGGAACACATGAAAGATGACATTCCCAGTCATGAGTATACACACATTGAAGGAACACATGAAAGATGACATTCCCAGTCATTAGTATACACGCATTGAAGGAACACATGAAAGATGACATTCCCAGTCATTAGTATACACGCATTGAAGGAACACATGAAAGATGACATTCCCAGTCATGAGTATACACACATTGAAGGAACACATGAAAGATGACATTCCCAGTCATTAGTATACACAAATTGAAGGAACACATGAAAGATGACATTCCCAGTCATTAGTATACACGCATTGAAGGAACACATGAAAGATGACATTCCCAGTCATTAGTATACACACATTGAAGGAACACATGAAAGATGACATTCCCAGTCATGAGTATACACACATTGAAGGAACACATGAAAGATGACATTCCCAGTCATTAGTATATACGCATTGAAGGAACACATGAAAGATGACATTCCCAGTCATGAGTATACACACATTGAAGGAACACATGAAAGATGACATTCCCAGTCATTAGTATACACAAATTGAAGGAACACATGAAAGATGACATTCCCAGTCATTAGTATACACGCATTGAAGGAACACATGAAAGATGACATTCCCAGTCATGAGTATACACACATTGAAGGAACACATGAAAGATGACATTCCCAGTCATTAGTATACACACATTGAAGGAACACATGAAAGATGACATTCCCAGTCATTAGTATACACGCATTGAAGGAACACATGAAAGATGACATTCCCAGTCATGAGTATACACGCATTGAAGGAACACATGAAAGATTACATTCCCAGTCATTAGTATACACACATTGAAGGAACACATGAAAGATGACATTCCCAGTCATTAGTATACACACATTGAAGGAACACATGAAAGATGACATTCCCAGTCATGAGTATACACACATTGAAGGAACACATGAAAGATGACATTCCCAGTCATGAGTATACACGCATTGAAGGAACACATGAAAGATGACATTCCCAGTCATTAGTATACACACATTGAAGGAACACATGAAAGATGACATTCCCAGTCATTAGTATACACAAATTGAAGGAACACATGAAAGATGACATTCCCAGTCATTAGTATACACACATTGAAGGAACACATGAAAGATGACATTCCCAGTCATTAGTATACACACATTGAAGGAACACATGAAAGATGACATTCCCAGTCATGAGTATACACACATTGAAGGAACACATGAAAGATGACATTCCCAGTCATTAGTATACACGCATTGAAGGAACACATGAAAGATGACATTCCCAGTCATTAGTATACACACATTGAAGGAACACATGAAAGATGACATTCCCAGTCATTAGTATACACACATTGAAGGAACACATGAAAGATGACATTCCCAGTCATTAGTATACACGCATTGAAGGAACACATGAAAGATGACATTCCCAGTCATTAGTATATACGCATTGAAGGAACACATGAAAGATGACATTCCCAGTCATTAGTATACACGCATTGAAGGAACACATGAAAGATGACATTCCCAGTCATTAGTATACACACATTGAAGGAACACATGAAAGATGACATTCCCAGTCATTAGTATATACGCATTGAAGGAACACATGAAAGATGACATTCCCAGTCATTAGTATACACACATTGAAGGAACACATGAAAGATGACATTCCCAGTCATTAGTATACACACATTGAAGGAACACATGAAAGATGACATTCCCAGTCATTAGTATACACGCATTGAAGGAACACATGAAAGATGACATTCCCAGTCATGAGTATACACACATTGAAGGAACACATGAAAGATGACATTCCCAGTCATTAGTATACACGCATTGAAGGAACACATGAAAGATGACATTCCCAGTCATGAGTATACACACATTGAAGGAACACATGAAAGATGACATTCCCAGTCATGAGTATACACACATTGAAGGAACACATGAAAGATGACATTCCCAGTCATTAGTATACACACATTGAAGGAACACATGAAAGATGACATTCCCAGTCATTAGTATACACACATTGAAGGAACACATGAAAGATGACATTCCCAGTCATTAGTATACACGCATTGAAGGAACACATGAAAGATGACATTCCCAGTCATGAGTATACACACATTGAAGGAACACATGAAAGATGACATTCCCAGTCATTAGTATACACACATTGAAGGAACACATGAAAGATGACATTCCCAGTCATTAGTATACACACATTGAAGGAACACATGAAAGATGACATTCCCAGTCATTAGTATACACGCATTGAAGGAACACATGAAAGATGACATTCCCAGTCATGAGTATACACACATTGAAGGAACACATGAAAGATGACATTCCCAGTCATTAGTATACACGCATTGAAGGAACACATGAAAGATGACATTCCCAGTCATTAGTATACACACATTGAAGGAACACATGAAAGATGACATTCCCAGTCATGAGTATACACACATTGAAGGAACACATGAAAGATGACATTCCCAGTCATGAGTATACACACATTGAAGGAACACATGAAAGATGACATTCCCAGTCATTAGTATACACACATTGAAGGAACACATGAAAGATGACATTCCCAGTCATGAGTATACACACATTGAAGGAACACATGAAAGATGACATTCCCAGTCATTAGTATACACGCATTGAAGGAACACATGAAAGATGACATTCCCAGTCATGAGTATACACACATTGAAGGAACACATGAAAGATGACATTCCCAGTCATTAGTATACACACATTGAAGGAACACATGAAAGATGACATTCCCAGTCATTAGTATACACACATTGAAGGAACACATGAAAGATGACATTCCCAGTCATTAGTATACACACATTGAAGGAACACATGAAAGATGACATTCCCAGTCATGAGTATACACACATTGAAGGAACACATGAAAGATGACATTCCCAGTCATGAGTTTACACGCATTGAAGGAACACATGAAAGATTACATTACCAAGGGTCACAGTCTGTTCAAAGACGCACAGTTGTTTTAAAAGCATAACATACACGTCAGTGAAGCAGTGATACAGGAAGCATCTCAATGTTTGAAATAATGAAATATACCCACACTCAAAAGTAACTGTGGCCATGTTCTGGTTTAACGTATTGTCAATTATGGGAAGAACTCATTCCGCCATTTTCTGTTTCTCTGCAGATACTGGACCCCTACACTTTGTCTTTTGTCTTTTACAAGTTATGGTGAAATGTCTGGATATGTCTCATTCCCCATGAGATATGAACAGCGTTTTAAAAGGAAGGGGCAATTGAGGACTTTCATTTTTAACTGGTCAGAATATTAATGTAAAGTCAATACGGTAAATTTCATCATCGTTATTATACAATTTCAATTCTCGTTCTATTCACATGATCACAACAAATATACATTCAACTGTGTTTGAGTTTACACATGAATATCCTATTGACCTCGAGTTACCTGGAAGGAGTTGTAAGCCATTTCAATGTAGAGATGAGCAATGTTGAAGAACTGCGTGTTGAACTCCGCAGGGAAAGCGACAAGGAACACAATGTAGGTCACTCCAAACAACGGGATCAATACCAGAATAAACTTGGCTAATTTCCTGTTGACATAAGAAGCATGTATTATTCCAAATGTGACACATCAGTGAAATTATGTCCGGTGCAATTCCCTATTTTGATTTGTTCCCATGCTTTGTCAGGTAAACAACTGACTTGCCTGTGCATGTGTTTGTGACGGTGCACCCGGTGGGGCAGGATACGCTCACCTTTTCGCGAAACCCTGGTATCATCACTACTTGATATGGATTCATTCACACATGCTTATGACTTAGTCGGAATGGTACATTCGACTCTGCTTTATGCAGAGATTTCTATTGGATATAATAAGTGTTTTGTCGCTTTATTTCATTATATGGGTATCGATGTCCAGAATTTCACTTTTAAGCGACGACGGAATTTTAAGATATACCGTTATCGGTAATTATGGGATCAATATCTTTTTTATGGAATACTAGAAGGGACATTGTTTCGTTGTCGCATTGTCGACCTTCCAAAAACAAGGAAGGGCGACAATGCGACAATGTCTCTTCTAGTATTCCATACTTTCTATATGAATTCTTACAGCACTGACACAGGCATGACGTCATGTTGTGACGTCATGATGCCATGGATAACATCAATATCTTTCGTTACCTGTCTGAAAAGCCAGATGTGGAGAAAAACGAATTCGAATTTGTTCTTGTAAATATTGACCACACAGACACTAATTCGTGAGAGGTAAATGACATACAATGATTACATAGAACTATCCTGGTCGTTCTGGATACTTCCTATTTACCTGTATTTAGCCTTCCCGTCACTGGTCTTGCTGTGTCGAGCCCGCATGCATAATATGCGGGAAATGTCCACAAATGATACGAAGTTTATCTGTAAAAATCCCCACACGTATACAGTATAAAATACTACAGTAGACGAACTAGTGATTGTATAAAATTGTTGTAGATTATAAAATATACTTTCGATTGTAATACAGCTTATTGTAATTTAGAATATCATATTGGTTTGATGTTAATTATATGTTCTTTAACTACAATATGGAGTCGCGTTTATTGAAAATAACTTACAATAACGATGGCGACACCTGGACCCTTCAAGATCCAGAAATATTGCCGATTTTCTTGAATATTCCAACAACTGAAAATAGAGCGTTTATGACCATGTTTAATACTCGGTTCAAAATTATATAAATGAATATGAATGACATATTAATATCCATTTGGGAATTTGCTGCCTGTACTAGTCCGGAATAACGCCGATTTTATGGTGCAAGTCCATTGAGACAACATGCCGCAGTGTAACATGGTTCCCCTCTCAGTCTGACTCCAGTCCTTGTTTTAACCCCTTATATGACGAGCGCCAGGCAGGGTAGCAACAAATACCATCGTTTAACATCTTTTGATATGACGCGTCCGGGCATCGAACCGACGACCTCCCGCGTTCCGGGCGGACCCTCTACCACTAGACCACGGAAGCGGTCTAATCATTTAGACAGCTCTTTGTACAGTAAGTGAGTGAGTGAGTAGCGATTTACGCCGCTTTTAGCAATATTCCAGTAATATCACTAGGCTACCCCACCGCCCCTATATGTACAATATGGGTTTTGCAAACACGAATGATTAATCATAGATATGTGTATGCTTGAGTATGAGTCGTTTCCCTTCCACGGTAACTCAGACATTACTAGATTGTATTTGTTTTTTTGTTTAACGATTCACTCAGCAATATTTCAGCTGAATGAATATGACCCAGGCAATCCAGTGATTGACATCATGAGCACCGAACGCCTCTTCAATCGCCTCTTACTTGGAGCCTAGATTCTCACCCGGAATCCCCACTGGTGACAGAATGTACTCACAATGTATCTTCATATACAGCTTTCACAATTACCCATGGAATCAGAAGAAATACAGGCATGACTGAAAAAGAAGAAACACATAAGTACTATATATAAAACATGATGAATCATCATCCAAAACAGCCCTCCCAGGAGATATTGCAACACGATGTTTTTGAGACCATTGTGACGTCAACGGTTACAATGACGTCACAATCAAATGACATCACTAATCTGCCTGCCACTGAACCTTGTTACACTCAAGACACTGGCGATTACTGTTTACATACTGAAACTGATTTTGGATGATAAATAGAATCGCACCCTCGTGTCTTTTGATATAAAAAATATCAACAACCGTTGGTAAAAGTTTAAATCTCCTCGGCAAGACTCGGGATTTTGAACTTTTATCGACTCCTGTTGATATATTTTACATCAAAGGACACTTGGGCGAGATTCTCTATATATTATTGTCTGGAGATTAATGTCTTCAGCCGGAATCATGGATTCGCCCCTAAAGGTTATCACCTGGTGAAACTACAAATAGCTTTAGCTTCTTGTCGTCTAGTGACGCATTATGTCTTAATTAAAAGTTAAGGAGACTGAACCAAGATCAACACCTTTGTTTTCCCATAGATGATAGTAGGTTCAGATAGATGATATAATTCTACCCTCTGTCTTATAAAGCTAACGGATGCCAATACGTGTAATACTGTTATAAGACGACGCCACAACACGTTTAATATTAAAACGTTTGAGTGACATGTAACTTACTCACCCCAGCCTAAAATAATATACATCTTTACTCCTCTCCGCTCTGTGGCTAGCGTCTTGTAGATAAGCATGTGAAGATACAGGCCTTCAATGAAGATCCACATGATGCTGACTGATATGCTGTAGTTGAAGATCACAAACAGCAGCTTACACTGCCAGTGCTGAAATAGAAATACCAGTGCACGTGAGTGGGTGAGTGTACCTGCCTGTAGCAGTATCTTTGAACTGAACCTGTATCCCTGTTCCCGATATACATCTATGTATTGTACAAAGAACTTGAGAATATCATGAAAACGTTAATACTTGAATCGTTTATGACCTAAAATTACAAATGGATGTTGTGGATGTTTTATATGTGTGACACCCTGTCGATAGTGACAACAGGTACAACATGCATGAACCATAGTTATATATACAAGACATTCGTATCATACACCAAATTTCTGGTATTACCGAACAAGTCAATTTGACATACTAGCAGCAACGCCTATTATTTCACAATCGGAATAATATTTTAATTAATTGTGCAAAGTTTGTGAGATAAGAATTTATATTAAGAAACGTCCATATATAAAATTATTGTACCCATCTTTCACTGTAAAATTAAAAAATCTGTTGAACTTACGTACATGAGTCTATGACGTTTATGTAGAGATGCACGCCTCTAGCTAGCACAAGGATTTAATGAGGAACAATATTAATGTGACCCATCAGGAGATAAGGGACCTTATGACTGAAAAAATCACATTTTGACTTCTCATATCATTTTATAACAGCACCTTCGGAACACAAAAATACAATTCTCAAGCTTCAGTTCACATTTATTTCAGAGATACATGCCATCAAACATATGGAGTCTGTTTAACTCTTAATGTAATAACTGCAGTTTATAGACATAATATCTGATGAATTGAAAGTAGATACGTGTGCTGAAAGGTTTTGAAATAATGCTTTAGGTACATTACGTTCTAACGAGAGAGAAATAAGATATTTTTGTACAGTCCGCACACATGGCGATCTTCACTGAAGTAAGTTGACGCCAAACGTCTTTATGACGTCATAGCACAATTGTATCCTGGCACCCATACGGTCCATTTTCTCCTGGTGGTCACATTTAGTATCGTGGCTGTCTGAATTTCATATTTCGCATTTATCACCACTCACTGGGCCGTCCAGGAACTCGTACGTCCCATCTGACTTCAGCCTGACATCCATGTCCAGACCAACCCCTTTAAACAACAGATCCTTGAGGAAGGAGACGGACGCCCTCAGGATGAAGGCGATGAAGAGGTTGATGTGAAGGGTGTTACTCTTGCTGTGCATCCGCCTACATGAAACAAGACACTTAAGTCATGTACAATGAACCAATGCACGCTAGGCAGTGTCGAGGTGCATGGGCAACCACATTGTTATACACATGCCTATGATTGTTAGAAATATACTTTCTAGATAACATTGGGCGGTCGGGTAACCTATTGGTTAAAGCGTTCGCTCGTCACGCCGAAGAGCCGGGTTTGATTCCCGACATGGTTACAATTTTTGAAGCACATTTCTGGTGTCCTTCGCCGTGATATTGCTAGAATATTGCTAAAAAGCGGCGTAAAACCATACTCACTCACTCTACAAAACATTGTGAATACATTCCTACATGTATCATAAAACAGCGCCCTCACTCAGTAGGGCTCAATCTGTTGAAATTATTCAGTACGAAATGTAATGTTGCAGAGAGAATGACATTTTGACGGTAAACGGCGTGTCTAAAAACACCTTCACAAATGTTAACTCATATATACAATGTCATGTAGATTTCCACTATTGAATGCATAGTGTTGATTATGGAAGCCACAACGTAGTTTCAGGTGCGTTCGGGTAGCCTATATAGCTGGTGGTTAAAGCGTTCGCTCTTCACGCCGAAGACCCGGGTTCGATTCCCCACATCGGTACAACGTGTGAAGCCCAATTTAGGTGTCCCCCGCCGTGATATTGCTTGAATATTGCTAAAAGCGGCGTAAAACCATATTCACTCACCTAGTTTCAGGAGTGATGGCAGGCGTTTCACTGGTAAAACAATATGTTGCTCGCTATGACAGAAATTGCTATGCTTCGTTCAGCCCAAAATCAAGTAAGTGAAAATTTGAAGAACATTCACACTTCTCCGTTGCAAATGACACCCTCAGGCTACAAATCAACCCCCATATGCATATTTCAGATGCTAATAGATATGTTCAGAACTTACTTATAGCTATGTGAAACACATGCTTAACGTTATCTACTAGATTTCAATGATATGTCAGGCGTGTTATGCTCTGTTCGACAAGTAATTTCACACATGAAGGAAAACTGTTTCGACCGCACCTATGGCCTACTTCCAAGTGTCAAGAATGACAAATAACCCTTTTCATCGTCATTACCTCTCACATCAATTGATTTGGTAGACACGCGACATTCCTTATGAGACACAAACTGTGTTTTTTAACTTGATGTTTTCATTTTCAGCTGCATTAAAAAGACAGTATTTTCTTTTCAAATAACATGCAATGTCTGTAGAAGGGATACAACGTAATGCTTCAAAGAATACATATGGTAGGTCCATTGAAACGAGATCTCAAGAGTGATGTTTGCAACTGTTTATAGTTGGCCGGTAATCATGTCATTCGCTCACAAAGTGACTGAACAGCTCGACACCTAGCCTCCATGAACGTCCAATATCGAATATACGCAACGTGTTTAGTACCTGCACGTTCGCCGTACAAGAGAGAGAGAGAGAGAGAGAGAGAGAGAGAGAGAGAGAGAGAGAGAGAGAGTGTGTGTGTGTGTGTGTGTGTGTAAACCAGATCGGAGATATGTCAATTAGATGTTGGTCAAAGATATTTGACGTAGCATCATTGCATTTTAGTGACAGCGAGGAATATATTCCTGACATCAACATATTCAAAATATGCTTCTGTCTCTAATATAATTAAGCTAATATCATAATATTAACGTATGTTCAAACTCCTGCATGTTATCTACCTAAACCGTCACACCGCCCCGTCGGTGAAAGATTGACAGTACATATATGCCAGAATCAACACATACTTTGTCTATACATGTATCATGGCTTTTACCAAATTGTGTTAAGAAAGTAGACTCAATTTGTACACGTTTTCCACAAGTCGTTTGTGAATCCCACGAACCCGAATATTGTGCTGATGGATCAAGCATTATTGTCGAACCAATTAATACGGAAGGTACCGTTCTCATGCAGGTAAATAGTCAAGAATAATTGTCGTATAAAACTAAACATGATACCCCTTTGTTTATATGTATTCAATACAAGGCGGTGTACTGTTCTTTCGCTGATTGCGAGTGTCCTGCTTCATCCACCTGTTTGACAGTATATGGTTGTACAGTCATGGCAAAGCTTAAAGCAGTGTTCCTTTAATGTCATGTGTTTGACAGTATATGGTTGTACAGTCATGGCAAAGCTTAAAGCAGTGTTCCTTTAATGTCATGTGTTTGACAGTATATGGTTGTACAGTCATGGCAAAGCTTAAAGCAGTGTTCCTTTAATGTCATGTGTTTTACAGTATATGGTTGTACAGTCATGGCAAAGCTTAAAGCAGTGTTCCTTTAATGTCATGTGTTTTACAGTATATGGTTGTACAGTCATGGCAAAGCTTAAAGCAGTGTTCCTTTAATGTCATGTCTATGGCTGTCTCACCTTGAACCCCACGGGGCAATGCGTCAGAATCAATCCCCTGCACTTCAGACTAAAATGGGTCGGTAGTCCCGCTCGACTGACTATGTGTCATCGTACCCCATGGAGATCGTATGGAGTGGGTCGTGTTTTCACTGGTTTGCCTTGTGTATTATCGAATATTCGAGGGATGACTAAGCTGAAATATTGCCAACTGCGGCGTTCAGTAACATTCCCTCACTCATTCACTGTATCGTTCTGATCTGCACACGGGTGGCCCAGTCGTCTTAAGCGCCGAAATTCGCTGTGGAGTTCAAGAAACTTATGATTGTGGGTTCGAATCCCGGTCCGCCCCGATTACGTTTCTAGGTATGTCAACACTATATACGTGCTCGTTGGTTTCACCAAGTGGTTAACGTCTAAGACCTGCATGACTTCGGGCTTCCCTCCCACATTGAGCTGACACGCCGTGATATAACCGGAATTCTAATAAAAGCGGCGTTAAACCTAACTCACACCGACCTGCAACACAGCATGATGATGACGGCGACGACGAGGAAGGCGACGGAGATGCTGTAGCCAGCGCTGTACATTAGGCGCAACCTGGCCGCGTTCTCCTGGAAGGATATATAGGCATTATGAAATAGTTGTACAATTCAAACTCCAGTTCCATAGAAATATTAACAATACTCATGGTCCCTTCATTCTATCTCTGTCACGTCGCTGTAGGATAACTGCACAGAGGCTACCAGGGGAAGGAATCATTATGATGAATGTAATGTTGCGAGGAAAGAAGCCCTGCTGTAAATCCATATCAACCAGATCTGCTTCACTGTCAACATCCCCAGACAATAAAACCGACTGGTCCGTAGCAAAAGGACCCGGGATGGATAATTTCGATTTTCAAATCGTGAATTTCAGGTGGAGCAATATTCCATCAGTTCCAGGTTATGGTGTCAACAATTCTCAAGTGCTTAGGTACTTTAAATATGTAAGTTTTGTTTCAATTCCATGGAAAGACACTAATTATAAACATTTCAATCAAGGTGCCACCTTTGAAGACCTGGTTATGTCGTACAAGCAATGTTATAGTTGACATTCAAGAATTTACTCAATAATACCTGTCGCTAATTAACATGATGCCCAATACTATCCTATGATGTGACCTTTGCATGGAGTTTTCACACTTCCATACTCACTAGCACTAGTACTAATACTTTTGTTATGAACATTTTGTGAATGGTGCGTACTGCCGGTACAGCTGGACGTGCTTACCCTGTTCGCGAACACCGGGTGTCATCACTGATTTTCAGCGATTCACTATCCTTTCCACTCCATATTGTTGTTCACTGTTTTGGCATTCACGCCCTTTGGTATCTGTTTCGGGAGATATTCGAGACTGACAGTACTCTGGCGTTGACGTTTAAACTTTACCAATTATAGCAAAGAACCCCACATTAGCCGAGGTAGAAACGTTGTTTTACCGATGGTGTTTGACATGTGTCAAGGTCACTTTGGCGTGTTGGCGTGACATTGACATTGTTCCAACATTTAGTGGCCCGGCAAATCGTTTGTGACCTCTGTGGCTGGTGGTAATAAAATGAAGGCTCTGTCTTTGAGTCAATAGAACAAATTTTAAAAATATAATCAGTTTTCTGTTACAGTACTCCATTTCCCAGCGAGCAGGTCCTTAACATTAATCATACAGTACCATGTGACGTGCTGGTGGATAATTGTGCAGAACCAAAACAAAGGTGAAGTTAATCGAACGAACCACATGGAACTTGAGGTCGATGGTTGACTTTGGGCAAGCTGTGAAGTTGGTCCAGGTGTGGTTCCTCTCCGGGGACACAAACCAGGTTCCGTTATCTGTACACCGTCTGGTGGCATTCTCTGTGAAAACAGGTCATAAAGAGCATAATGTCCAGAGTGAGGTGTGTTTTACACCGTCTGGTGGCATTCTCTGTGAAAACAGGTCATAAAGAGCATAATGTCCAGAGTGAGTTGTGTTTTACACCGTCTGGTGGCATTCTCTGTGAAAACAGGTCATAAAGAGCATAATGTCCAGAGTGAGGTGTGTTTTACACCGTCTGGTGGCATTCTCTGTGAAAACAGGTCATAAAGAGCATAATGTCCAGAGTGAGTTGTGTTTTACACCGTCTGGTGGCATTCTCTGTGAAAACAGGTCATAAAGAGCATAATGTCCAGAGTGAGTTGTGTTTTACACCGTCTGGTGGCATTCTCTGTGAAAACAGGTCATAAAGAGCATAATGTCCAGAGTGAGTTGTGTTTTACACCGTCTGGTGGCATTCTCTGTGAAAACAGGTCATAAAGAGCATAATGTCCAGAGTGAGTTGTGTTTTACACCGTCTGGTGGCATTCTCTGTGAAAACAGGTCATAAAGAGCATAATGTCCAGAGTGAGTTGTGTTTTACACCGTCTGGTGGCATTCTCTGTGAAAACAGGTCATAAAGAGCATAATGTCCAGAGTGAGTTGTGTTTTACGCCGCACAGTATTAATTTATATCACGGCGTGACAACATATGAAGCAGGGAAGCCCATGTAATGCAGGCCATGGAATGGAGCTGATAAAACAAAGATCAGAACTGTGTTGCAAATTATTGTTGCTGTACCTTGGTCAGAGAGAAGAAAAGATGAGGGATAAGGCGAAACTGGCATTCGAATCTTGTGTCGCCGGACATATGGATGCCGTTGTACAAAGCGATCTTTGCGATCGTAACTCCCATACCTTAACATAGACTTACGACAGTCGTAGAGCTAAGGTTGTTTTGTACAACGACATCCAGGTCGACTGAGGGACGCAACATCGAAATGAGGCGCCTAAGACCACTGGGTCCTGATTAGTGCACTTTAACAATACATTACTGTTCTACACGTTTTAGCATACAGCCAAAATCTTTCATTCTGTCAAGTGTAAAGGCGTGGAGGATATGGGTGTCCCAGACTCAACCCAAGATACGCTGATCATCGGTCCACGTCAACAATCGGCGTCACTTCGGGCTTTCAATCAACATCAATTTGCCACGCCATGACATAACTGATATATCAATCAAAATAGCGTAAACCTTAATATCGCGTACTCAGTCTATAAAACTAGAACTAGTCACATAGCTATCATCTGGTCTTTCCATCCACATCAATGTGCCACGCCATGACATAACTGATATATCAATCAAAATAGCGTAAACCCTTATATCGTGCACTCAGTCTATAAAACTAGAACTAGTCACATAGCTATCATCTGGTCTTTCCATCCACATCAATTTGCCACGCCATGACATAACTGATATATCAATCAAAATAGCGTAAACCTTAATATCGTGTACATAGTCTATAAAACTAGAACTAGTCACATAGCTATCATCTGGTCTTTCCATCCACATCAATTTGCCACGCCATGACATAACTGATATATCAATCAAAATAGCGTAAACCTTAATATCGTGTACTCAGTCTATCAAACTAGAACTAGTCACATAGCTATCATCTGGTCTTTCCATCCACATCAATTTGCCACGCCATGACATAACTGATATATCAGTCAAAATAGCGTAAACCCTAATGCGTGCACTCAGTCTATAAAACTAGAACTAGTCACATAGCTATCATCTGGCCTCATCTGCCACGGTAACTGGCTATTGTTCAGAGATCCCCCATCACCTCGTTGTAGCCTCTGCATCAGCACAGTGGCCTCATTCATCATTAATCAAATACTCCTACTCAGGATGCAATAAGGCAAGATTAGCCTGGCTGTGATATGATCTATAAATGTCCATAAATGCCACGACGTTATCATAGACCTGAGCTCGACTCGGAACATCATTCCACAAAGTGGCGGCCATGTTTCCACCCTTGACATCATAAACGGACTTAATGGACAGGAAGGCTTTGTTTTTAGGACAAGTGGAATCCAATTAAACCTTGATGAGAATGTTATTCGTGGCAGGTAATATTAACAACACGTCACTCATGACAAAACATTCAGATAACTTTTGATGTTCAGACCAAAAGAATAACACTCTAAAATGTCTTCTTAGGCCTTAATATACGTATTAGATTACTGATCCCTCTCACGTCGCTTGTAAACACCCCGCTTTACATGTGTTATTGTAGTGTTGAGCAAGGTCATCCCCAGGAAACATATTCCTTCGGTGACATACAAACGTCTGCAGATAAGATGAATGGCCATGACAGGATCATCTACACGCCACAACTGCTAGCATTGATCGCCTCACCACACGGAACACATCGCTGATGGGTTGGACTTGTCTCGTATCGTATTACAGACCCTCGCTGATGTGATAGACAAGTATCAGGGCAACTATTGCTCGTCATCATAATGCATACTTGTCACATCCCATGTATGTTCAAGACCCCAAACACCTAGGGTAATATTACATATATTGTCACATCCCATGTATGTTCAAGACCCATACGCCTAGGGTAATATTACATATATTGTCACATCCCTTGTGTGTTCAAGACCCCAAACACCTAGGGTAATATTACATATATTGTCACATCCCATGTATGTTCAAGACCCAAACACCTAGGGTAATATTACATATATTGTCACATCCCATGTATGTTCAAGACCCAAACACCTAGGGTAATATTACATATATTGTCACATCCCATGTATGTTCAAGACCCCAAACACCTAGGGTAATATTACATAATTTTTATATTGTCACATCCCATGTATGTTCAAGACCCAAACACCTAGGGTAATATTACATATATTGTCACATCCCATGTATGTTCAAGACCCAAACACCTAGGGTAATATTACATATATTGTCACATCCCATGTATGTTCAAGAACCAAACACCTAGGGTATTATTACATACATTGCTTCATCATTGGTTGAATATCAATAAGCAGCCATTCAATTGATACGTATGTTGTGTATTCCATCTGGAGATGTTTGAGAATAGGGAACTGCATCGGACATCTTTTTTGAAGCTTTACTTAGTTTTTGAATGCTTTGAGCAAGAGTCGTAGATTGCTTATCTTTTACTTATAAATAAATATGTGTCAATTGACCACAGATCGAAAAAAGGTTAACGTGAATTATTAAGTTGAAGTGTGACAATGTGGTAAGGTTGATTTCTATGTTCTGTCCAGGTTGAGGGCATTGTCACAATTCGGGTCAATGAGTTATTTGATAAGGTCGATGAATGGTATTTTATTTCCTGCATTCTGTGAATCATTTATATAAGTGGGTTTCATACATGTTCACACATAAACCATTAATCTTGATTGAAGTAAAGTGTGTCCATGTCCCCGTGTCATATTTGTGTGGAGTTGTGATTTTGTTTGTTTGTTGTTTAACGTCGTACACATCAATATTTCACCTGTGCATGTACATATATGACGGCGTCCTGTAAATAATCTAGTCAGGACCAGACTGCTAAGTGATCGACCCACGCAGTGCGGGCAATCAAGGCAATCACCGAGACTGACAACGCGATTCATTCGGTCGCCACTTGGCACAGGTTGCTGTGGACCCATTCTAACTCGGAACGTAAGAAACAAATTATCAATTAAATATGTTAAATATTCCTCTTAATCTTAATCTTCACGGCTATCCTAATGGATGGTTGCAAAACGCTACAATGTATACACATGTACATCCATATTATATGATGATATGTTAATCTACGTTTGACAGCTGCGATCGAATTGTATCACATGAGAACAATTCGGAATTTACATAATTCAGTTTATTGTTGATGATACGAAATTACCATTATACATATCCTATTCTTGTGACTATACTTAGATTACATGTATCTGTGGATTGTATCATAACACCGTCCATCATCATTGCGCCAGTTGGGCTGTTTGTAGCAACTGAATGGGTTTCAGTCTACAATGTATGTCTGCGTTGATTACATCAAAGCGCCTACTAGTCACCAAATGTTGCCTTTAATCAGCCGCGTGTAGACTTCAATAGCTGGGTAACAGAAAGTTAGAGCCGTAAATCATCCAGCCACTGAACTATGGACACACAAACTCTCCTTCGTCGAGAAAGTGGTCAATTTATCACGCCGGCGCCGATTCAAGCGGCACACATCTTGCCCTATGCCTGTTTGACGACGAATTGAGATCGTGTGGAATGCCCACACATATCTCTGCTACCTTCTTCTGAGATATGCCAGAGGCGTGGTGACTGCTGCTAGAACAAAGGATCGCTGTGATGTATTCTGGTCAGTCCTGAGTGCCCAGTACATACCATACATTGTGTACCCAGACAGTAAACTAAATGTTTACTTCGGTATGTCAGAGGAGAATACCTGGGATCTACATCCATATACACAACAGAAGTTGAGGAATAGATGGCCTTATCACATGATTTCGGCATATTGTCCTACCCATGTGGTCACGGTGAATAGATGTATTCAGCATATGGTCAACTTCATGTGGTCACTTTGAATAGATGTATTCAGCATATAGTCAACTTCATGTGGTCACGGAAAACAGATGTATTCAACATATGGTCAACTTCATGTGGTCAGGGAGAATACATGGATTCAGCATATAGCCCTACACATGTGGTCACGGTGAATGCACGTATTCCTCATATAGCCCTACACATGTGGTCACGGTGAATGCAAGTATTCCTCATATAGCCCTACACATGTGGTCACGGTGAATGCACGTATTCCTCATAAAGCCCTACACATGTGGTCACGGTGAATGCATGTATTCCTCATATAGCCCTACACATGTGGTCACGGTGAATGCACGTATTCCTCATATAGCCCTACACATGTGGTCACGGTGAATGCATGTATTCCTCATATAGCCCTACACATGTGGTCACGGTGAATGCACGTATTCCTCATATAGCCCTACACATGTGGTCACGGTGAATGCACGTATTCCTCATATAGCCCTACACATGTGGTCACGGTGAATGCATGTATTCCTCATATAGCCCTACACATGTGGTCACGGTGAATGCACGTATTCCTCATATAGCCCTACACATGTGGTCACGGTGAATGCACGTATTCCTCATATAGCCCTACACATGTGGTCACGGTGAATGCACGTATTCCTCATATAGCCCTACACATGTGGTCACGGTGAATGCATGTATTCCTCATATAGTCCTACCTATGTGGTCACGGTGAATGCACGTATTCCTCATATAGTCCTACCTATGTGGTCACGGTGAATGCATGTATTCCTCATATAGCCCTACACATGTGGTCACGGTGAATGCATGTATTCCTCATATAGTCCTACCTATGTGGTCACGGTGAATGCATGTATTCCTCATATAGCCCTACACATGTGGTCACGGTGAATGCATGTATTCCTCATATAGCCCTACACATGTGGTCACGGTGAATGCATGTATTCCTCATATAGTCCTACCTATGTGGTCACGGTGAATGCATGTATTCCTCATATAGCCCTACACATGTGGTCACGGTGAATGCATGTATTCCTTATATGGTCCTACCTACATGTATGTGGTCACGGTGAATACAATTGCTGAAAGCAGCGTAAAACGAAACTCACTCACTCACCGTGAATACATGTATTCCTCATATAGTCCTACCTATGTGGTCACGGTGAATGCATGTATTCCTCATATAGTCCTACCTACATGTATGTGGTCACCGTGAATACTTGTATTCCCCATATAGTCCTACCTTTGTGGTCACGGTGAATGCAAGTATTCCTCATATAGTCCTACCCATGTGGTCACCGTGAATACATGTATTCCCTATCTAGTCTTAGCTATGAGGTCACGTTTATACAGACTCAGATTAACACATTTAGATATAAAAGGATCCTTTCAACAACATTTTATTTTGTAAATGGTATTTATATGAAATACACGGAACCATGTACAAATCTTTGTCTAATAATATATACTATAGGTTTGAGCGCCTTTCAGCATCTTTTTAATAATAACGTACGACAATGTGAAAGTAATTTACAACTAATGCTAACATACATTTTGATTTTCTGATGAATTCCCTTCGCACCGGTCTATAGTTGTAGGGACTACACGATACAGTATAACGTACAGTGTAAGATAGTAATCAGATCTGGACACGTCTACCTCTCCTGCATTCTCCATGATGATAAGAAAGGACCTACAACACCAGTCCTGAAATATCAAATTTTCTCAAGAAGTTAGTGTCTCAACATCACCAACATCTCCCGGCCATCGTCGGTTTGTCTTTGTTCTAGACTACAGAAAGACATTGACTGCCTCCTCAAAGTCAGCTTCAAAGACGAGGTTCCCTGGCCTGCAGTTATTACTTACACACATAAGACTCTCGTTCACTCTGTGGGGTGTTCCTGTCAGTCAGCCTGTTGGTACAGACACTCAACGTGTCCACGCGTCTGTATGTGTGTAATCAGTTGCAGACCCTGCTAGCACTATGTACTACATATACAGTACAGCACATGGGCCGAGTGGTTGAGTGTTGTACTGTAAGTAGTCCCAAGGAGGGTTATGAGTAGAGTTAAGTGATTTGTCTGGCTTGCTTATTGGTCACATATATCCCCAGAGGGCCAGGGAAGAAGAGCCGTGTTGAACAGTTCCTTCTGTATGTAATGCAGTTTCATATAGCAACTGGTGTTGTCACATTTTCATTTATTGACGTCTACACATGAACATGTTGATATAAAGATGTTCATATTCTTAACATGTACTTCAATCTGTAAAAGTAAATACAGTTTCATATCGAACTATTCACTAGCACGACAATGTTTACTGCTCAGTGTCCAAACTATACTGTCCAGATACCATTAGTACATATATTTGACGCCCAAATATATGATGTATATTTTATCCTCGATAGTACAGCCAAATTAACCAATGATAAATTCAGTAACTTATATATACATGTATATACACACATGTATGTGTGATTGAAGAAATTCAAGTTAAAAATTAATATATATAATGTTTTTAAAATCAATGAAATTTACATTCTTCTATTGGGTGATTACCTATTGCAATCCTAACATTGGCTGTTTTCCTGTATTGATAATTTTGTATCATTATCAATATAATATAAATTGTCAATGCAAGAGAATAACCAGTCTAGATTATCCGCCGAAACAGATTCCATCTGGCCTAAATGGCGTAAAGGGCAACACAGCTGTGAAAAATGACACCAGGTGTAAAAGGGTAGGCATGTCCTGCCCTACTGGTAGCCTGAACTTAGGAAATACCAACATAATGTTTATTATAGGATGCTACTTTTTCTGAGTGCATGTGGATTGATCAATTGGGATTATACTATACATGTTAATAATAATATTCAAGGATGTCCCCGAGTATAAATCCGGTACCGATGACATCTTTGTATTTTGTATCTTTGTATATTTTGGTTCCTCCAACAAGACAAATAATTAACATTTCCATAAATGCTTCCATATCTATTTCCAGTGCTAAAAGCACATTAAATCATGTTCGAGTCAGATGTTATGACACAATACTGTTGGTAGATCTCGGGGCCTTTTTCCAGCTTTGTGTCTACAGACGTGTTAACATTGCATGATAAACAGGAAGCCAGGTTCCAGCAGAAGTGAAATGACTATTCCAGGGGATGAGTTGCCATTATTTATGATTTGGGCAGCGTCTTGTCTCCTGCTTGTGATTCACGTAATTAGTAGGTTTACACATATCGAGTAACCACACAGAAACGTATGGATACAGTCAAGTAGGCTTCAGTTTGAATATGTATTCCGAAAAACGCCGAGATCGTTCCTGTCGAACACATTGCTCCGGAAATGTCGATTCCCAGATGATTACATTCGTGAGCAAGACAGTTATGTTAGATTACCCGCTCTATATGCTGACATCCTGCAAATTGGGTACACACTTTCAAACCAATTCCATAATAAATATGTCAAAGTGCAAGGAAAAGTGATATCTTAACAGTATAGATGCTGCATAAGTATGCGATCCTCTTACGACACTAATCTTCAGTTGATGAGAGTTCTGTCACTCACCGTTTCTGTTGAAGCCGTTGATGTAGTCCGGGCAAGGCTGGGTGGCGATGGAGCCGGCAGGGGCTGCGTCCCAGCATAACACGTCATCCCATACAACCCCACAAACCTTCACTGGCTGCTCGAACTCATAGCCTAAGAAATATATATTCACTTCCTAAATTCAAAAGGTTAAGACACTGTGGTACAGTAAGGGCACATGCATTGGTTTTGGATGTTTAAACATCTATAATTGTCTGCATCACTTCGGGCTTCACTGGGAGCGGTGGGGTAGTCTAGTGGTTAAAGCGTTCGCTTGTCACGCCGAAGACCCTGGTTCGATTCCCTACATGGGTACAATGTGTGAAGCCCATTTCTGGTGTCCCCCGCCGTGATATTACTGGAATATTGCTAAAAGCGGCGTAAAACCATACTCATTCACTCACTCACTCGGGCTTCACTGCCACCTTGAAATACCGAAATACTTTACTCACTCACTCACTCACTCACTCACTCACTCACTCACTCACTCACTCACTCACGCACTCACTCACTCACGCACTCACTCACTCACTGTAACATATTGTGATTATGATTGAAAGAGCGGTCATTGTCCTTTGGCACTGTTCTAAACAATTATTGATATCATTATTTCTCTTTCCTTTCCACGTCGTTTTCTTATCAAATTTCATATTTACGTCTGTGCATGAAGTCTTGTAGAAAGACAGAAACCCACTGAATGTAGCTATTAAATGGTGACACGAGTCAGAAACAGGCAGGGCAGTAGATGCTTACCTGTTCCGAGGACTCCTGGTTTCATCACACATCCATTCATACAACTTTCACCGCTGTCTTTCCTTTTACGCCCAATGAAATCTGTTTCGGCGGATAATCGAGACTGATAACTCTTTGACTTTGACGTTATATATTTAGTTTAACGCGTGCACATACTTGTGAAGCCATCAGAGAAAACCAACCCTGTGTCGACCTGTTCTCCTGGTCCACCATCTTCCAGTAACACGCCACCTTCGCCTCCAGTAACAACCGTCTCTGCTCCATCTTCGACATGATGTGAGCGATCTGAAAAAAGTGACATGTATTTAACGTGATACCCATCTAACGTCTCCCTTTAAATCAGGTTAAAGACTGTTCGAAGTGGCGTTAAACCCAACTCACTCACGGGTTATGTAGAATGCAAATTACAGTGCTATTATTACATTACCAAAAGCCGGTACAAGATGGTACTTGTTGTTTCCCTGTTTGGTGTTCTGCGTTACGGTGATAAATCAGGGACTGGTCGGCTCGTAGTCGGTGTTGCATGATATGTTTGTGTGCAAGCATTATTGAAACGGCTTTAGTCCGGACAAGTGAAAACAGGCCATACACGCACGCACGCACGCACGCACGCACGCACACACGTCGCATATAAATGCAATATTCTTGAACGCGACGTTTAACCCAGATTCACCTCACTAAAATAACCTTTTTTTGTTTAATGAAGGTGTTTGTTTGTTAAATGTTTTGTTACAATTGTATGAAGATATTATGAAAATTTACATTATTATTTTCCACTTACAGCGTCTAAAACGTCGTCCATAAACATTCATGATTTATTCATTCAATTTAATTTTCATCGCTTGTTTGCTTTCTGCGCCCTATGGAATGTGTTTCGACAGATAATGGAGATTTATTATTCTAGGGTATTTTCGTTTTGACAATTAAGGACACGTAAGGAAGATATAAACATATCACACTCATAGTAGGTACTTCAACCGATACAGCTAGGTTCATTCTGTTTTCAATGAAGGTCAATATTACGTGGTTGCAATATAATTATCATTATAAGTTATTATCATGTGTGGTGACTTTGCATTTGCTGAACCAGTTTCTGTTTCCAATACGGAAGCTTCAATACGATTTTCATTTATGAAATGTGTTAGTCACATGACCTAAACACGATGAACGTCTAGTGAGTGAGTGAGTGAGTGAGTGAGTGAGTTAGTAGGGTTTAACGCCGCTTTTAACAGTATTCCAGTTATGTCACGGCGTTGTAAACGTCAAGCTCAAGATGCAGTGCTGTAAACATAATACATGTTTGACATTAACTTGACTTTTTCAAATCACTAAGTCAAGATTAACATTGATATAAAACCACTTTTCTCATAGAATGTTTACATGCCGTGGGCGGTCGGGTAGCCCAGTGGTTAAAGCGTCCGCTCGTCACGCCTAAGACCCGGGTTCTATTCCAGGCATGGGTACCATGTGTAAAGCCCATTTCTGGTGTCCTCCGACGTGATATTGCTGGAATATTGCTAAAAGCGGCGTAAAACCATACTCACTCACTCACTCCCTTTACATGCCGTTACACACACGTTGGATACTGTATATAAATTCACACTCGATCTGACGATATAGGCACGTGTAAGCGGATGTGTAGCTGCACCAGGAATACATTATAGTACCTGGTCAGTAAGTTGTGAAAGTATATATGCATCTCTATCTATACACTCAGGTGCTCCTTTACCATGCCGATACCTGTCATTGTCAACTATGAGCAGTTCTCTCAGAACACCTGGTGTCATCACTGATTTTCAATGGTCCATTCACATAATTTTCACAGTCATTCAGCCCTTTACACATAATGGATTCTGTGTCGGTGGATGATGTAGACAGGTCATTCTCAAAAACTGACAATGCCTATTTTCATCCCGAATAAATATTGCCAGTGTAGATGCATTTTGGAAATATGTTCCTTGTAAGAACCGTTCAATGGGAATACTTTCCCACAGATAAAAAAAAAGTACAAAGGAATAATTTCACCCCGGGAACAGATACACTGTGACATTATAGCCGCGTGCAGTTGGGAATACTGACAATGGTATCGAGAGTACATGGTGTGTGTACCTTCACATGGTGGATGTATTTACACACTAGTTTCAGTGATGTTCCAATGATGACATCAGTCAGTGCATACGGAGAAATCCACATGAGATTACATTTCACACTTGTGACAAAGAATGTGTGAATCATAGTGAATGTATTAGTATGGTTTTATGACAAGTGACGATGGGGACAGCGGGGCTGGGCTTCACACATTGTATACATTGTATATATTTTACATTGTGGGATCGAACCAGCGGGAATAGGCTTCACACATTGTATATATTGTTTATATTGTACATTGTGGGGATCGAACAAGCGGGAATAGACTTCACACATTGTATATATTGTATATAGTGTACATTGTGGGATCGAACCAGCGGGAATAGGCTTTACAACTTGTATACATTGTATATGTTGTACATTGTGGGGATCGAACTAGCGGGAATGGGCTTCACATATTGTATACATTGTATATATTGTATATTGTGGGGATCGAACCAGCGGGAATAGGCTTCACACATTGTATACATTGTATATGTTGTATATTGTGGGGATCGAATAAACGGGACTGGGCTTTACATATTGTATACATTGTATATATTGTACATTGTGGGGATCGAACAAGCGGGAATGGGCTTTACACATTGTATACATTGTATATATTGTACATTTTGGGGATCGAACCAGCGGGAATATGCTTCACACATTGTATACATTGTATATATTGTACATTATGGGGATCGAACCAGCGGGAATAGACTTCACACATTGTATATATTGAACATTGTGGGGATCGAACCATCGGGAATGGGCTTCACACATTGTATACATTGTATATATTGTACATTGTGGGGATCGAACAAGCGGGAATAGGCTTCACACATTGTATACATTGTATATATTGTACATTGTGGGGATCGAACCAGCGGGAATAGGCGTCACACATTGTATACATTGTATATGTTGTACATTGTGGGGATCGAACAAGCGGGAATGGGCTTCACACATTGTATACATTGTATATATTGTACATTGTGGGGATCGAACCAGCGGGAATGGGCTTCACATATTGTATACATTGTATATATTGTAAACTGTAGGGATCGAACCAGCGGGAATACGCTTCACACATTGTATACATTGTATATATTGTACATTTGTGGGGATCGAACCAGCGGGGCTTGGCTTCACACATTGTATACATTGTATATATTCTACATTGTGGGGATGGAACCAGCGGGAATAGGCTTCACATATTGTATACATTGTATATATTGTACATTGTGGGGATCGAACCAGCGGGAATGGGCTTCACACATTGTATACATTGTATATATTGTACATTTTGGGGATGGAACCAGCGGGAATATGCTTCACACATTGTATACATTGTATATATTGTACATTATGGGGATCGAACCAGCGGGAATAGACTTCACACATTGTATATATTGAACATTGTGGGGATCGAACCATCGGGAATGGGCTTCACACATTGTATACATTGTATATATTGTACATTGTGGGGATCGAACCAGCGGGAATAGGCTTCACACATTGTATACATTGTATATATTGTACATTGTGGGGATCGAACCAGCGGGAATAGGCGTCACACATTGTATACATTGTATATGTTGTACATTGTGGGGATCGAACAAGCGGGAATGGGCTTCACACATTGTATACATTGTATATATTGTACATTGTGGGGATCGAACTAGCGGGAATGGGCTTCACATATTGTATACATTGTATATATTGTAAATTGTGGGAATCGAACCAGCGGGAATACGCTTCACACATTGTATACATTGTATATATTGTACATTTGTGGGGATCGAACCAGCGGGGCCGGGGCTTCACACATTGTATACATTGTATATATTCTACATTGTGGGGATGGAACCAGCGGGAATAGGCTTCACATATTGTATACATTGTATATATTGTACACTGTGGGGATCGAACCAGCGGGAATGGGCTTCACACATTGTATACATTGTATATATTGTATATTGTGGGTCTCGAACCAGCGTAAATAGGCTTCACACATTGTATATATTGTATATGTTGTACATTGTGGGGATCGAACCTGGGCCTTTGGCATGTCGTGTGAAAGCACAAGGCACTACACATACACGTAGCTGCTTGTACTAGTCCGGACTGATGCCGTGTTTAATAATGCGAGCCCACTGAGATACCATGTCGCAGTTTAACATGAATACCCCACTCAGACACAGTATTCTGATTCTGAGCCGACCAGTCCTTGCTTTAGCCCCTGAATGCCGAGCGCCAGGCAGCGTAAGAACAAGTACCATATTTAAACTTCTTTTGGTACGACGCGGCCGTCATTCGACCACTAGACCACGGCGTCGGTCGTAAAACAACAGCTGTTTGAACGAAATAACAGTTCCTGCTACCGACGACAACTTGTTCTCCTGTGTGTGATCTGTCTTATCATTTTCTTCAGTTTGACTGTCTCTACAGAGGGTGGTCTTTTGTTTGATGGAACGCGCGAAGTAAAGATTCAGTGGTGATAATACATCTACATCAGCAAACTATCGCCGTTTCACTCCATATACTTCATGCATCCCAGTCTGATACCTCACGTCAGCTGTAGTATCAGAGACAGGGGCACGGAGCCCATTTGGACAAAATGTCAATGAAAGTCCGCAACATCTCTTTGTTTCATATATGCAATGATTGTAATTGATCAGTCGATGTAGACGAGGTTGGGTCTCATTGACAGTCCCAACATATTTTAGTGAAGTCATTCCAAACCTACTATGTTTGTACATTTACATTTTGTGACGTGTATCAGTTTGTTTCTCGTCCTAATAACCTCTGGAGAAACATATATTTCATAATCTGTCTCTAGTACATTACAGCGCAAAAGTAAGTTATCATGTTTAGCAGTTGGATAATCCTTAGCTGCATTGCCTATGTTTCGAAATACGATGTACGCATCGTAGAATGGTTAATACTTAGGTATTTACACTAAATATATCAAAACAATGTGTGCACTGTGCACATGCACATTCAACAGTCTTTTTCAACATCCTTATAAAAGTGTATACCAAGTTAAAAGAGTTCAACCAAAGCTCTAAAGCAATGTCAAGATTTACTTACATTTAGATTTCAGCGTCTTTCCCGAGCGTGTCCTCCTACATATGAATACATTC